TAGCCTTTTTTATACTATAATAAATAATTTTTAATAATAATTTTAATAATGAAAAGAATAAATAATTGTTTTATTAATTTTTGTTATATCATCGGAAGTAATTTGATAAAATTTAAAATTTTGAGGATACAATTTGGTCATCTTGAAGCTATGATGAAAGTTTGATGTAGTTACTTTGTTTATGTTTGCAGATATCGTATATCTATAAAAAATATTGCATATTTTTGTCTCATTGTTCATATATTATACTATATGTTTATATTATTCCTAGATTTTTAATGTATTAAATTTTTTTAAATGTTTTTCTTAAAAAAGATTTTACTACGATAACACTTTCATATTTGTTTTGAAACATTTAAAGTTCAATTAATCTCTTTGATGAATAGATTAAAGTTTCCCAAAATGTTAGCTAGCTTATTTTCAACTCGGGCAAATGCATTTGTTTTAAGGGGCTATACCCCCATAAAATTTCAAAATTTTAATTTTTTTTTTTTTAATTTTAACTATTTTAAACTATGCAGAATCATAAAATTTGTTTTGGATGTATCAGATTATTCTTTAACTATCTTAAATTGTCTATTTAAGTTAACCACTTCTTAAGTGTTTGTCTTAGCAACGCCATAGCAACGCACTTAAACAGTTTTATACATCATACTTTTACCTTAATTTCATCCAAAATAGTGTTACACTTGCAATGCCTAAGCTTGAACAACTTCTTGATGCGTTTTTCTAGAATTTACCAATACCTTGGTACATCAAGTACGACAATATTTTTCAGTTCAGTCAGTTCTTGAGATTTTATTAGGTTAGTTTAATTAGTAAAAATGGGAAAAGCTTGTCTAGTTACGAGATGTACATAAACTCATAAAAAAAGGAAAAAGTTTATGGGAAATGTTCAAAATTCTGTTAATACTGTTGTTATTGTATCTGATATATCAGATACAATATCTGATATATCAGATACAATAACAACAGTATTAACAGAATTTTGAACATTTCCCATAAACTTTTTCCTTTTTTTATGAGTTTATGTACATCTCGTAACTAGACAAGCTTTTCCCATTTTTACTATAGTACTAATTAGTATAGTACCATTAGTACTATAGTACTAATATCGAATTGCCGACAATAAATCCAAGTGCCCCTAACATCCACGGCTGTTTCAGAGTGGACATACGGCTTCTTGTTATTTTTTGAAAATAATTACTTAGGGGGTGTTACTAAAACTTTCATAACTTTTGAAATATTAAAGATAAATACGTTCTGTAAAAGGAATATGAACACTGACTAAATGTTTTATATTTTATTATTCAATATAATAATCCAAGGCTGCTCCGATTTTTAAATAAACGCGCAAAATGATGAACTTGGCAGAATTTCAAAATTTTAAAGGTACTTTTTAGCAAAAATATTCGGAAAAATTATATTTCTGTTAACTAATATGTAATATAAACATAGTTAGACCATTTATAAAACATATTAACATTATTTACACTAAATGCAAACTGATACAGGCACTACAATAGACGAAATAAAAAAATCACAAAAATTTTTTTTTTTTTTAGCCACGAGAGAAAAAACCCGCCAAAGTTTGTTTTATTTATAAACTAAAATTTGTCTCGCTTAAAAAGCTGTTTTAATAATTTTTATTTAATAGTGAATTGGGAAGTAACGCATTTAAAGTTACGTCATTACTTTAAAATGTAAACAAAAATTTTTCGCATGTAACTACAAATTTTGTTGCTAAAAGCAACAAGCTTTGTCAAGATTGAAAACGTTTTAGTAAGAAGTACAGAAAGTAATTATTGTGATTTTCATATGCATAAAGGGTTGTAATTTCAATATTTTGGTGAACTTGGGAAAAATATAACGTTTTTCATAAAAAACAAGTAATAACAAAAATATAAAAGCTAAAAAATCTAACTTAAATTTTTTTTTTTATCCATGTTCACCAAAAATCTGATAAAATAGACATTTGTTTATAAGTATGTAAAATTTCAATCATAAAGCATGTAGCTTAAAATATCTAATCTTGATTGGCCCAAGACAGGTTTTCATTAAAATACGCAAAAAACAGAAAAGTGATCCCAAATCATTAGCAAAATTTTTACAACTTTAATTTTTATTCCGTTTAATCAGAATACTTATTTAACAAGGAAAGATAAATGTTTCATTTTTTTTTTATTAGAACACAAAAGCGTTTATAGAAAAAAAAAAACACTACTTTAAAGTTATTCAATTTTTATACGAAATTTTTAAAAAACTCTTTATGCGGAAATTGTTTTTGCTAAACTCGTGACGTAATGCCCAATTTTACATTGCGTGAAACAGCCGTGCATCACTTGTGTTACTGAACCAATTTTTGAAAATCCACTTAATGTGTCAGCTTCAGCTCATAAAATCGAAAACTTCGAAGATACAATTCTTTCAAAACCTGCCATATCTGGTTATCGTATAATTTATGTTGCTGTTTTAATGTCTATTTTAAGTTCTGTTCTGTGTCCAGAGTGGTTGTTCAACAATCTCACTAAGTGAGAGATATACTCAACGACGTGGTTTATCATCCTTACTATATCTTAAGTGTATGAAAAGAGGTTGTAACTATTTTCAAAAGTTCTACACTTCTAACTATGACAATAAAAAAGGATTTGATATCAATAAACGAATAATTTATTGTATGCGATTATTAGGTCATGGATATGCAGGCATCAAAAAATTTTGTACCATTATGAATCTACCTAAGCCAATGACCAAAAACAATTTTGAAAAACTGATAAAAGTAATTTCAAAAGCTGTTAAAACTGTAGCAGAACGAACAATGATAAATGCTGCTAATAAATTGCAAAATACAGCTTTGAAAGTAACCGATATTTGTGTATCTTGCAATGGAACATGGCAAAAACAAGGATACTCATCACTGAACGGAGTCTTTTCTGCCATCTCTACTGCTAGTGGCAAAGTTTTAGATGTTGAAATGTCCAGGTATTGTAAAGGTTGTAATTTAACTCAAAGCCTCCAAAAGTCTGATCCAACTTCTTATGCACAATGGAAAAATTCCCATATTTGCAAGTATAATTACCAAGGTTCGACTGGGGGTATGGAGGCAGAAGTAACAAAACGTGTCTTTCAACGTTCGATAACCAATCGCCAGTTACGATACGTTCAATATTTAGGTGATGGTGATACTAAAAGTTACTATAGTGTTAAAAATGTATACCCTGATATAGAAATTGAAAAGCTGGAATGTGTTGGTCATTATCAAAAAAGAGTTGGAACGCGCCTCCGAAATTAAAAAAAAAAAGAAAAACACCTCGGTGGTAGAGGCTGCCTTACAGATGCAACAATTGATCGTTTGCAAAACTTTGTTGAAGTTGCTATCAGGCAAAATGTGGGTAAACTTAAGGAAATGAGAGCTGGGGTGTTGGCATCACTATTTCATGTTGCTTCCTCAAAAAATAATAGCTTACATTTTCCACACTGCCCCACTGGTGCAGACAGCTGGTGCAAATACAATGCCGATAAAATAAATAAGATATCAACCTATAAGCCAGGACCGGGTTTACCAATGGATGTCATTATAAAAGTAAGACCTATATTTGAGGATTTAAGTAAAGACATTGAGTTACAAAAATGTTTGCACGGTAAAACACAAAATGCCAATGAATCTTTTAATGGAATGATTTGGAAGCGTATACCAAAACAAACATTTGTATCACTTACCCAATTAGAAATTGGTGTATATGATGCTGTTGCCAACTTTAATATTGGAGCAAAAGCATCTATTGATATTTTGAAGCAACTGGACATGGAACCAGGCTTTCATATGATTGCAGGATGCATATCATTAAATAATGAAAGATTACAAAAAGCTGAAATTAGAATGAACCCTGCTAAAAAGTTAAGAAGGCAAGTATTACGTGCCAAGAAACTGAAGAAGAATGAGAAAATAATTGAAAAAGAAGGTGACTTGTATGTTCCTGGTGGATTTTGAAAACTTTGTTTATTTTTTAACAGTTTTTATGAAAAAAATTGTATTGTTTTCAAAAATTTTAACTTAAATTGTCTTTTTCTCAAAATAGAAATTTGCGCACGCCGGCCAAATTATCTCTTAAGATTTTTATCTGGAGATTATCTGGAGAACCGTATTAAATTATTATATGAAATTTTCAGTAGGTGTTTATCATATTATACTCTGTGAAATGAATGGAGTGGAATTTATTTATTTTATTAAAAAAATATATATATGACCTAAAATCAATGAAAATTTTGACCATAATCTTTGATTGCGCCATTTTGATGATGGCAAAATGTTATGAAAAAGCTGATCCATTCATTTCATAGCCCTACTTAATGAAAATATAGTATTAAAACTTCAAAAGGTAAATATGTACACATATTCTTATATTTTGGCCAGCGTGAAGTTATTTTTTGGTCATTTTAAGGGTATTTTTTGGTTACCAAAGAAACCACCAATTTTTTTAATTTTTTTTTTTTAAAAAGGTTTATATTTTACTTAAACCTAGAAACTCATAGCATTTTTTTTTTTTAAATACGTAGATTTAAAAACAGAGGGGGATAGCCCCTTAAAGTATATTTTTGTTGTTATTGTTGTTGTTTTTTTAGGTGCCTTAAAAAGACCTAACAATCTTGTCACAGAGCACCGCGTAAGTGGATCTCCTGCTTTTAAAGCAAGTACTCTAACCACTGCGCCACGGCAGCTTAATAAGAAAACAATAGAAAAGCGTTCTAAATTTCTACTTACAAGAGACATAAGAAAAGTGTTCTAAGTTCTTACTTACAATAGCACGTGTTATTCAGATGGCTTTTGAAACAAATAAAGCGAAAAAAATATTTACGATTCAAATTTTTATTAGATAATCCAATTCAAATTATTTTTTGTTTATTTATAAATACTTCTAAATTTTTGTTAACTAATAAACTGTGTGAGTGAGTTGTCTAGAAACATCTCAGTTGGAGAGTGAAAACAAATCGTAACTTATGAAATTATGTGATTTCTCAAAAAAAATAAAATCACGCTTCCCGAGACGCTGAAAGTGAAAGTATAAAAGTTTGTTTATAAAGTGATTTTTGGTTAGTGTTCTTAGATTTCTAAAAAAATAAAGTTCATTTCATTTCAGTTAATTTATTTTAAATTTAGATTTTTTTAAGGTTAGTATCTTTCAAATTCTAACATATTTTTTATTTTAGCTTGTTAAAAAAGATGTCTGAAAATGTAAAAGTTGCTGTCCGCGTACGACCATTTATATCTTTTTCATATTTAAGTTTATATAATAAATGAAATGCACTTGAGAGTGTGTGAGCGGCTATTTGTTTTTAGTTCAAATTTTAAATCACAAAAAATATAATCGTAACCAAAAATATTTTTTCTAATTAAGTTTTGCAGCTAATTAAAGTTTATGCAATGTTTGGAATTCATAGTAACGAAAAATTTTTTTTAATAGCTTGATTATTACAAATTTCAGAATTTGTATTGTCAAAATTATTCATAATTCAAAATAATTTTCAAAGTTGTGATTTTTAAAAAAGCGTTTTAATACTCAAACAATTTTTAAAATTGTTTAATGTGGTTGAAATGCATAGTAACAGAAAAATGTATCATAAAACGCTGCGAAATTCTCATAACAAATTGTTAGTCAATAAACTGTTAGCTTTTTTTCCCATCTTGATAAATTTTATTTTGCTTTTTTTTCTTTTTTTTAAGTTTTTTAATTTATTTGTTTTATTTCTTGCAATGCATACAAAAATAATAAAATATTTTAACACAAAAAATATAAAAACTAATGAAATAAAAAAATGAAATATACTATTAAGTATTTATTGCAAAATTAAAAGGAAAAAAAATTTTTTTTTTTCAATGTTTAAACTTTAAATGTGCGTATTAAAAATATAAGTTTTAAAGTACCCAGTTATATGATTTAGTATCAGAATTGTCTAAAGGTTTCATAAAAGAAAAAAGTTTTCAGACTTATGGTTTTTAATGAGTTTATTATATATGATTGGATTTGCAAAAACAGCAAAGAGATATAATCATTATTTATAATCAATCTGTTAGTTTTCAAATGAATAAATAAAAAAAATTTAAAAGTAATTACTTTTAAATTTTTTTAAAGTTTATTTAAAGTTTATTTAAAAAAATTTATTTTATTGAAATCAACTAATTCGATTATGTAATCGAATTAGTTGATTTCAACAAAATAACCCTAAATGAAAATGTTAAATATACTACTAAAAAAAATTTTGTATAACATTTTTTATATCATATGGTTTAATGAGATAAGTTTTAAATCTTAAAATTTTGTTGTTTTAAATCCTAAAGATTTTTATAAGTAGGTTATGCAGACAAAATATATCTGCCTATTTTATTGCATATGTAATAATATTTTGCTTAATTTCATTACACAATTCACGAGAAAAAGAAAGAAATGCAGTCCTTTGCATTAAAATGTCAGGAAGTTCAACATATATCTCTAATCCTGAAGAACCAAACAGTGAACCAAGAAAGTTTGCGTTTGACTATAGCTATTGGTCACATGATGGTTTTGAGGAGCAGCCTAATGGGTATTTATCACCTGCAAATTCAAGTTATGCAGATCAGGTACAGATTTCATAAAATGTTTTTTTTTTAAATTGTTTTTATGATGCCTTTTTTTAAAAAATTATGAGTATGTTATTAACAAACATTAGAAAGCTGTATTTTCTGACCTTGGAGAAGGTGTATTGTCAAATGCATGGAAAGGTTATAATTGCTCCTTGTTTGCATATGGGCAAACTGGCTCAGGAAAATCTTATTCTATGGTTGGATATGGTGTAAATTTAGGTAAAATAAAATATGCACATAGTTTGTATATTACAAAATTAATTTCCCTAAAAACTTTTCATTGATTAGTAATGTAATTATGGAATTGTTTTGATTGACTATTTTTCACTCATTAGTTCAATAATTAATTATGTTTTCAGGTATTGTTCCTGTTACATGTGAAAGACTTTTTGAAGATATTTCAAAAAAGAAATCAGAAGGTTCAAGTACAGAGTATCAAGTTAGTATCATTTTAAAATTACTTGATGTTTGTAAAAACAGCCTTCAATCATGTTTTCAAAATTAAAAAGTTGATTGACTATAAGACTCGTTTACTATTATTGAGTTCAAATTGGTATGTATATTGATATATATATATATATATATATATATATATATATATATATATATATATATATATATATATATATATATATATATATATATATATATATATATATATATATATATATATATATATATATATATATATATATATATATTAGGTTTGTATAAATTTTATACATTTAAAATGCAGTATGTAATAACATAATACTGGAGCTAAAAAATCTTCGAAAAAAAAAAAAATTTAGGGTTAGCTATAGTCTCTTAAACATCAGACAGGCCCCTAATATTATCAAGAAAAAAAGTTTTTCAAAAGTATATTATGTTGGATCTCAAAAGAAGCGAAATTTTATAAAAATTTTAAAAATAGTTATTTTTTTATAAAACCATTTAGAAAAAAAAATCATAACAAAAAATTTTTTTAAAAATGCAAATTTTTTATTTTAAGTTAAAAAATGTCATTTTCTATGCAGTGAATGCTAAAATAGTATTTTTTTTTTATAAAATGATAATTATTTTTGAAATTTTGTTTCTTTTGAGACCCAACATAATATACTTTTGAAAAACTTTTTTTCTTGATAATATTAGGGGCCTGTCTGATATTTAAGAGGCTATAGCTACCCCTAAAAAAATTTTTTTGAAGGTTTTTAAACTCCAATATTATGTTATTATAAAGAACACATGAGATAAGTTTTAAATCTTAAAATTTTGACACATTTTAGACACACAATTTTAGACACACACACACACACACACACACACACACACACACACACACACACACACACACACTAAAGAAAATATTTTATTTATTTGTGAGAAAAATTTTTTCATCATTGATGATGATCTAAAACATACAATTATATATAAAGACATTATTGAACATGGTAACAATATATCAAAATTGGTGCAGCAAAAATAATCATCTAAACTAGTATTTAAAACATTTCCAAGTTTTTGCAAGCAACACATCTTTTTTGCATTGATTTAACAATACTGTTGGAAATTCTTCATCAAAACTTCTCCAAATGATTTTAAAATATTTAGAGGAGTTACAATGAAGAATTTCCAATAATTGTTTAATCAATATTGTATGATGTTTTAATCTCTATATTGATCTTGTTCAGATTTTGTTAAATCAGTAATGTTTTCATGTTTTAAGCCATACATGGAGCTTGTTCAGATTCTCTTTGTCGATACAAGTCTAAATAGATTTGATTGGATTCAAATCTGCTAATCAAGCTGCCTAGGACAATTAATCTATTTTGTTTTTATTTATCCATGCTTTAACTGCATGGATAAATACAACAAGAAGCCGTGTGTGCAGGCACACACAGCTTCTTGTTGAAACTGCTACCACTTATTTCTATCAATTAGTATGTCTACTGATGGAATCATGCAGTTCTCTAGCACCTCTGTTTATGAGTTTAGTTGATTCAGCCTGTATAAATGTTACACACACCTGCTCAGTTTAAATTAAAGCTGCCCTATGTACCCACTTTTTTTACTGTATTTAATTCAAGACATTTTTCATAATTTTTTTTGAATATGTTGGTAAGTTCAATTATTTACCTTAGATTGGCTCTTACTTGATGAAATATAAGACTGTTTTTGCCTCCTGTAATTTTTTTGTATTCCTCTGATAAAACTAAATTAATAAAAAAAAGTAACATGAGGTGAACTTGAAAAGTAACATAAGGCGAATTTGTTATTGACATGTTGTTTGTAGATAAATACATTTAATGCAAAAAAAAAAAAAAAAAAAAAAAATTTAATCTTTAAAAGCAAATGCGGTTAGTTTTTTATGATGTTTTCAAAAGCATAAAATGAAGATAATATTTTATTGCTTCTAATTTTATTTATGTTTTATGTAGTTACCAATTCAATATTTATTTATTTGTTCTATATTTAAGGTGAAATTGAGCATGATGGAAATTTATAATGAACAGGTATGTTTTTTAGTATTATACTTATATGTATTTTTAAATAGATATAACTTTATGTATGTATGTATGTATTTATGTATGTATGTATGTATGTATGTATGTATGTATGTATGTATGTATGTATGTAAACATGCTATATCAGTGTTATATATCGTGACGTTAGAATAATAGGGTTCTATCTCCATTTTTAAATGTTATGAGAATTTAACTTTTGATTTTTAATCATATAAGTGTTTTACAGGTGTTATTGTTTATGTTGATAAAATATATGTTTTTTATGTTATTTATGTAAGATTAATTATAAAAATTAATCTTACATTATTACTTTCATAATTTTTAAAATTGCTTGAATACAAATTAATTGTTAATTCAAACTTTTTAAAATAAAGTTGAAATTGAGAATTAAAAACCAAAAACTAACAATTTTTAAAATTATATAAAGAATAATAAAAAGATTAATATAATAAAATTATATAATTTTGAATACAAAAATAATATTATAATTAAAAACAGAGAATTAAATTTTTTTATTATGAAAATTTAGAGATAGAACCTTATTATTTTAATCTACTGATATGCTATTTTGTTTTGCACCAATTTATATTACTTAATGAATAATAAACAATGTATATTCTAAGCAATAAATTTAACAAATATGATATTTTCATCTTTTAGTTTAACGAACTTAACAAATTTTTACTTTTAATTTTAAAAATTTAAGTATAGAAAATTTTTTTAAGTTCTCTTAACATTATAAAAGGGAGATAGAATCCTATTGTTCTAACGTCACGATATATTGATATTACAACATGTATTAGTTAATGTTTATGAATTGGAGTTATAAGATATACTGTTCTAAAATTTTTATTAAAAATTAAAATAAATTAAATTTAGAATTTTATTGGAACTATAAAGCTTAGTTTTCCCTCAGTGAATTGTAATTGAATTAACATGAGGCCAAGTTGCTTAGAAACCTATTTAAAAATTCTACAAATAAATATATATAAAACATAGTAAACGCTAAAATTAATCATAAGTGTTATTGTTATTATAAATGCATAAAAGAATTGTTTAAAGATTTCTAAAAATCACAAGTATTTATTGCTTAAAAGACATAATTAATTTGATCAATGTACACAAAATTTATAATATTCTATGTCAAGAAAACAATTTTCTAACTAAATTGTCTTTTAAAATAATCTAATAACATTTTTACAAATTTCCCTGCGTAATCATTTCTTCATATATTTAGCAGTATATAAGCAATATCAGATACATTTATGGCTTTATATTTATGACCTTTAATATAAAATAACAGTTATATCTGAAAGCTATAGTTAAAAGCTAAAGTTAATATGAATAATAGTTTTAAATAATAATTTTTATAGTTTTAAATTTCCATATAAACTTTAGTTTGATTCAAGTAGTTATTTCCTTTAAAATTACCTTCTGTACACAATTTTAAAAGTATTTCAATTTAAATAAATTCTGACTATTACTCAATATATGTACTGAAGCCCACTGCTACTATTGTTCCTATCTTTATTTCAGTAGGATACCATCAGTATATTAGTATTTCATGTAGACTTGTTTGCAGTATTTGACCATAAAAAATTATAATATTTAATTTATTTTTAATAAAATTTTAGGTTCGAGATTTACTTAATGCCTCCACTTTGACTATAAAGGGTGGAATGAAAGTTAGACAGGATCCAAAACAAGGCTTTTATGGTAAGAATATGTATAATGTTTAATTTTTACAGAAAGAATGCCATTAGTGTTTTATTTTTATGTTAACAATTCGTATAATGTTTTTATGTTTACCTAAAATTAAAATAAAGTTTATTTTTCTTAAATAAAAAATATTAATTTCTTATAACTTTTGAAATAAAATATTTCATTATTTTCATCTCATACATTGTTATATATATATATATATATATATATATATATTTATATATATATATATATATATATATATATATATATATATATATATATATATATATATATATATATATATATATATATATATATATATATATATATATATATATATATTAAGTATGCAAAAACAATACCGGACACTTAAAAAAAAAATCATAATTTTAAAGATTGCATCAAAAAAATGAGTTGCCTGTTTAAATATTTAAAATTTTTTTTAGATATCTCATTAAGTATTGTTTTAAGAATTTATTTTTATATTGGTGAATTAATTGCTTTTTAAACCTATTGAATTTTACGCATAAAATTGACTGCAAAAAAAATAATGGTACAGTTCAATAAAAATGTCAAAATGATCATATTCCATAGAAATAAGTATCGAGTGGGGCCCCGTTTGGCCTTGATGGCCTCAGCTAGACTATTTGGCATTGAGTTGACCAAATTTCAAGTCTCTTCTGTTGTTATATTATCCCATGCACTCATTATAGCTTTTTCCATGTTGTATTTGCGTCTAAATGCTCGGTCACCAATTTTTCTGTGCAAAACAGAAATTAATGAAAAAAAATTAAACCACTACAAATTTTATATTGGATTCAAGTCCGGATTTTGAGATAACCATTCCAAAACATTGATGTTATTTGTGTCTAAGTATACCTTTGTTTTCTTATTGGTATGTTTTGGATCTTAATCGTTTCCCATTCTCAATTTGTAGACAGTTGCAAGTTGGCTTTAAGAATTTCACAATACATTGAAGCATTAATTCATCAATAAATTTAAATTTCTCTACTGTTTTTCAACTCATACTATCCCAAACCATCACATTTCTTCCTCCATGCTTTATACTTCCTTGCAAATAGCTCAATTTATATGCTTCTTTTTTTTTTTGCCACACTTTCTGGACTGCATCTGATCAGACGAGGTTGTATTTTGTCTAATCTGACCACAAATTTTTTTTCCAGTATGATATTAGCATTTTTTTTCATACTTCTTTGCAATTTCCAATCAACGTTTCATTTGTTTAAAAATTAAAAAAAAGTTTTTTTCAAATCTCTATATCCTTGTTCTCTAATAAGATTTCTAGTTGTTTGAGAAATCACTCAAACAACTGTTGTGATCTTCTTGAACTTTTAAAGCTAAATTAGCTACTGAAACAAATTTATTTTTATTCACATTAATGATGATATTTTGATCAATTGTAGTGGTGGTCTTGTGTTTTTTTCCTCTACCAGCCACACTAGCAAAGGTTCCAATTAGGTTATGCTTCTTAACAGTTGAGAGATAAAGGTATACTTTGACACAAATAACATCAATGTTTTGGAATGGCCATCTCAAAATGCGGACTTGAATCCAATGGAAAATTTGTGGTATATTTTGGACAGAAAAATTGGCAACCGAGCATTTAAACATAAAAACGATAATGAGCGCATGGGATAATATAACAACAGAAGAGGCCCAAGATTTGGTCAACTCAATGCCAAAAAATACCCCATTCAATACTAATTTCCATGAAATTTTTTTTAAACTGTATGATTATTTTTTTACAGTCAATTTTGTACATCATTTGATCAATTGTATAAAATTCAATAGGTTTTAAAAGCAAATAATTCACCAATATAAAAATAAATTCTTAAAACAAATCTTAATGATATATCTAAAAAAAGGTTTTTAAATATTTAAACAGACAACTCATTTTTTTTATGCAATCTTTAAAATTATGATTTTTTTTAAGTGTACGATTATTTTTTTGCATACTATATATATATGTTTATAGTATGCAAAATATATATGCAACATATATATTAAGTCGAGTATATATATATATATATATATATATATATATATATATATATATATATATATATATATATATATATATATATATATATATATATATATACATATATATATATATATATATATATTAGACTGCTTCATTTTGAGGTCATGAAAAAATTTTAAGTACCATGGAGTGTTATCTGCTGCGTTGACCCTTATTTTATTAGTAGAATTTTTTTTTTTTTTAATTTAGACCACTTTTAGGGGTTGCTCAAGTGCCTCAAAAGTCATATTTTAGGCTTTTTTACCCTTTTTCAAGCCCATTTTTCGCACGTTTGAGCAAGTACTAAAACTCAAAAAAATTGAATTTTTTTTTTTTCTAGAGTTTTTTCTAAGTTAGAATAAAAAAATTAAAATGCATGGTAATTTTATTTTATTGAAATAATTTGTGTAAATTTATCTACAAAAACGCAAAGTTATGCAAATTTTAACCGAATATTACGCATTGCAATATCTTTATGTATATGTTAAGCCATTTGGAAAAAAAAACCTAACTATGTTGCATAAAACATCTATATATAGCATTAAAGGTCTATATAAACTTTATTATATTGCAAGAAACTTCATTAAATTACATGAAACGAAAAAAATCTAATTATATTGAATAAAACGTCTAGCAATTTTGTTATACAAATTTCTTTATAATTAAATTTCTATAAAATTTATAATTATTTTTTAAAAATGTTATGTTATATTTTTATATTGTTTATTTTTTTGTTTTTCTTGGATTTCTTAGTTTTTCCTCCATACTTCCTTTTGTAATTATGCAAAAATAAAAGTGAACCCTGTCTTTTCTCTTCTTTTCGGGCAATATCAATTTTGTCTTTTATGAGTTTAACGATTCTTTCCGAGCAATCATTAACAACTGAAAGATTAAAAACTGCCTCCTGAAATTTTAAGTAGAAATCGTTGCAAGTCCAATATTCTGGAGGGGTTTTCATCCATTGACAGTCACTTTTACTTTGGCCTATCATAAGGAACAATAGCCACGAATTTTCTGTGACCAAATGAACTAAGCTGGGAGGCTTCGGTCCACTGAAGTCTAAAGAATTGAGGACCTCTATGTTAGCACTTATTCGGGCTAACGGATATTCATCCATACTATGAAATTCAAAGCTGTATAGTTTTTGAGCAATATCACCTCTTTCTTTACATTTTTCATCAGCTAGAGCTAGTACAATAAGGTAAGGGTCCAGAAACCATGTGTGGCGTTTGATAGATTTAATGACTGATTCTGCCCCAATCAAATTGTACTCCTTAAATCTATTCATTTGCCAAAGCGCTCTCATATCCTGTATGTATATATATATATATATATATATATATATATATATATATATATATATATATATATATATATATATATATATATATATATATATATATATATATATATATATATTTCATACTTTTTAAGTTAGTACCTACCTGATTCGGAGCAGCAGCAGATAGTTCAGCTTTGAGAAACCAGGTAGTATAAAAAACAGAGACAAAAGTTGCCACTTCAGTAATTTCATGCTTCAGCCATTTTTCCAGACTAGGTATAGCATCCATCATAAGTTGGAGTTTTAGGTAGTAGGTACCTATAAAAAAAAGTCTTTTTTTTTTAATTTTTTAAAAAGAATAATACTTGATAATGTAAAACAAATTCCTTTTTTTTGCAACTTGAACCTTTTTTTATCATGAACCTACAATTCCTTACCTTTTGCCATAAAACGGGCATGGTGGACTGCTCCGGGAGTACGAAATTTATACCTGTCTTCAGAAAGCACCATAAGTGTAAGCTCTGCCAGCTCAATGTAGTCCTTCCTTGTAGCCCCATCCTAAAAATGAAATAAAATAATTAGTATTTAGGTATAATAAAATAAACCTATTTATATTTTAGTATAATAAAGAATAATAGAATTAAAAAAGAAAAATTTATGAAAAAATTTCAACATAAAAGTACATACTACATAGATACCTACAAATTCAGATATCTAGTTATTGGCTACCTTTTTTAGAGACCCACTGGCGATAATATTTCTGCAGAACGTTATGCTTTCATGCTTTTGATGACCAAGCCATGTTTCCTCTGGAATAGTCAATCTTCTCAAAACCTTATTTATTCAAAACGTAAAAAAAATATTCAAAGAACTCAAAATTGGAAAAAGAAAATTATTTTGAAAAAATATTATTTCACAAAATGGTAGCTAATTTTGTAAAAACCTACCTGGTTGTCTGCGTCAAGATCATTCCATGCTGATTTTAAAGTTTTAAAAAGCAGATTATCTGGTCCAGAAGTAATGCTACTTTGATAATTTTTCCAGAAATGTGTTATGTGTAGCTCATTGACATGATGTCGGCATGCAATAGATAGAACTGGTCGTTGAAAGACTTCATTTACCAGTAAAGATACAGCTCCATTTTTTTTCCAGCGTTGATTCTGCTAGTATCAAATGTTACAGCTTGTATATTGTCTGTAAGGTTAAAGCTATTTAAGATATCTCTGATTGCATTTTTTTGATTTTTGCCAGTTCCAGAAGAAATGGGTGGAATTCCCAACAGGTGCGTTTCTTTGTTAGCGTTTATTAATATTGCTAATCGATCTTGTTCCAATTTTTTCCCATCAGTATATTCATGACATACTTTTCCATCAAAATGGAGTTGAACTAAAATGTTCTTATTGATTTTTCTTAAACTTCTTAAATCATCCTTGATCCTCTTTGATTCATCATGAATGACCTTATCTGCAGCGCGTAATGCTGTAGAGGTTGAAGATTTAAATTCAGCTACATTTCCACCCGATTTCGCGATTATACTATTAATCATGGAAGCATGCTGCCTATGACTTATTCCTTCCCCAACAGCAGTATCAGCAGTTCTCTTGAGAATATCTTTTGGAAGCATAACAGTATTAGTTTTTTTGACTTTTTTCTTTAACTCTGGATCTGGGTATGAAAAATCATCATTACCTTCATCTTTCTCCGATCCATTTGAGCTGAATTCACTCTCTGACATGGTTTCATGCAAATTTGATTTCCTTTTAATTTTGGATAAACTCCTGTTTACAGAGTAAAGGTACCTTGTATCGATTCCACCTATTCTAGTTTTTCTATCTCCTAATTGGTCTAATAAAAATGCAATATCTTCAGTCTTGTCTTGATCCTTTCGTTTCCTATCAGCTTTAATGATTGCAACCAGAGTATCAAGCTCAGGTGCAATCCAAAAGATACTTTTCATCTGAGTTAAAAACCTCATCCTTTTTTCAATCTCTGATAAAGTTTGTCTTGCTTTGTTTTTTTTTAACAGTTTCCAGGTTTGGATCAGCTTCTCTATCTTTATACTAAAAAATGTGATTTATAGGTTCGGTATATTTTACAACACACCTATTTCTGTTAATTAACTTATTTAACAGCAGACATTAGTTATATTAATATTTTCCGCTAATAAGTAATAATATATAAATAAAAAAACATATACAGTCTGGTACCTACCTAATTGTCTGTAATTGTAAAATCTGAAATCCACCCTTCAACCAAGGTGTAATTAACTTTGAAAGAGTGCAGCAAATATGTTTTTCATTATGGCAGCTGATTTCAAAGTTTTTTGTCAATGGACAGTGGATAATTCTACTTTCTTTTTGTTTTGGGTACTTCTACTTCAAATGCAAGAAGTATTGCAAAACCTCTTGCTTTGTAGCAAACTTGTCTTTTGGTAAGGATGACCTGGATTCCCTTACCAAAAAATGTGTGTCAACTTTTTTCTTACTTTTCCCTGACATGATTAAATCGGTAGTAAATAGCTTTATTTAGTATATGGAGTAAGTATATCATAAGAGTAATCTATATTTATTTCCCCCGTTTTTAAATCAAAATTAAATATCGTTTTTGTTAAGTAATTTGCATAACATGTTTAAGCAAATACGCAACATTTTTAAATTAACGCGAAGCGCAACAATTGCATAACTTTGCGTTTTTGTAGATAAATTTACACAAATTATTTCAATAAAATAAAATTACCATGCATTTTAATTTTTTTATTCTAACTTAGAAAAAACTCTAGAAAAAAAAAAAATTCAATTTTTTTGAGTTTTAGTACTTGCTCAAACGTGCGAAAAATGGGCTTAAAAAAGGGTAAAAAAGCCTAAAATATGACTTTTGAGGCATTTGAGCAACCCCTAAAAGTGGTCAAAATTAAAAAAAAAAAAAATTCTACTAATAAAATAAGGGTCAACGCAGCAGATAACACTCCATGGTACTTAAAATTTTTTCATGACCTCAAAATGAAGCAGTCTAATATATATATATATATATATATATATATATATATATATATATATATATATATATATATATATATATATATATATATATATTTTAACAGTTGAATTTAAAGTTTTAAGCTATTATATTAAGCTATTATAAATAATAATTCTATACTAAAATAATTAACATTAATTAAATAAAAAAATTTATATATAAATTTATTTTTAAATTTAAATATTTAATCAAATTTTAATATAAAAGTGTAATTTTTCTTCTAAGGCTTTTTTTCATTCTATTCTATAGCTCTGTAAATCTCATCCTTGTATGGAATACTTGCATCTTTTTCTATTTTTTACGACTACTATCATGGTCAACCAATTTACAACTCTCACACATCTCTTGTTCAATCCCAAAAACTCAATTTCTCTTAACACCTTAATCTACCTTAATCAATTTTAACTACCTTAATCAATTTTATGTGATTCATCATTTAGTAAAGTTGCATTCTTTTACTGTAACTGCTCCATGATGCTCAGAAGTGTTTTACAATCATTTTTTATCTTGTTTTTTTACCTCAAATACAATACTTTAGAAGTCCTGTCTTCATGTTTTCCTCACTCATTCAATTTGCGTTTTTAAAGTCTCTCAGCTGTTTTCTTGTTATTTAACTTTCTTCTTTCCTTTCTGTTAACTACCAACTTACATAATAGTGATTGCAGGCCTTTTGAAAGTGAATTTGTTATTAAAAAATATATATTTATTGTATAATTTTTCCTCAAAAATAAAAAATATACCTATTTATATATAGAAAGAGCTTGGTTTATTTAGCATTTAACTGTTTTCATAAGGCAGGGTTAAATTTTTTAAAAAAGCAACTGGTTAGAAAATTTATAAATCAATAAAAAAAGGTTCATTCCGATAATGATACGGATTGTGCAAAAAGTGGCAGATAGTGATGCCAATTAATCAGTACATTACTATTGCGCACACAAGTCATGAGTTATGTTCTGGAAAAACATTTTACCATATTTGGCAATGTGATCACTGAAAATATTTCAATATGATTTGTTATAAGCATATATTCTTTTATTTCTATTAGTAAAAGTAATTTTACCTTTCAGCTTAATATATTTATTATAACATCTATTTATTGAACAAAATATGTAAAATCAAAGCTTTTAAATCTAGACAGTTGCTGAATTACCTTTAAGATATGCTTAGTTTGGGTTCTATTGTCAGGAGGACTAAATAATAATGTCAGCATTAGACATAGATAGCAAGTAACTTTTTAAAATAGTGATCAAAGTTTTATTTTTCAACTTGTTTCTCCATGCAGCAGCCTTATTTATCAAGGTTCGTGTTTTGGAGTTATAGAGTTTAGAAAGGGTTGTAACCACAATTAAAGTAGCTTTCTTGATTGCAGTGGTCTTCTCGGCCTTTGTTAGGTGAATTAACATTAAAATATATATATAGAATTTTAAATTTAGAGCTAAATTAAACAAAAATTAGGTCAAGCAGGGGCAGGGAGGAGGAAGGGGGGAAGAGAATATAAGAATAAAAATATCCAGAGGTCATCGGCTGAGTATATCTTTACAATTAAAATACAACAAAGATTTAGTTTGAAAAATTATAGATATTTTGTTTTTTAAATATATTGATACTATAAATTATATTTAGTTGATGGTTTGACTATGGTTCCAGTTGCAAGTTACAATGATATAAATTCAAAAATTGAGCAAGGAACAAAACAACGTACTGTTGCTGCAACCCAAATGAATGCAACAAGCAGGTGGCTACAATTTGTATTTATAATAGGAACTATTTTTGTAATTTTTGTTTAAATTTGTGGTTATATTTTTGAGGAGTTGCCATGATTCCTCTGATAAAAAAACTTAATGTTAAATGAGAAGTGTGGATCTGTGTAACGATTTATTTTGTGTAAAAACATTAGGCATAAATCATGAAAACAATGTTAAAAAATAATTTGGTATAGACTCACTTTGTTTGCATTTTATAAGTACTAAATTATTTAACTAAAACATTTATTAAAAGTTGTTTACAACTTGTGAATTTTAGTTTAAACCTCTGACTCCAATGATTCTTCTTTGTACCTCTGCTATGTTTGTATATATATTTATATATATATATATATATATATAAATATATATACAAACATAGCAGTTTGTATATTTATATATATATATATATATATATATATATATATATATATATATATATATATATATATATATATATATATATATATATATGCATATATATATATATATATATATATATATATATATATATATATATATATATATATATATATATATATATATATATATATATATATGTATATATATATATATATATATATATATATATATATATATATATATATATATATATATATATATATATATATATATATACAGTGGTGTACACTTTTGACACTTACACGCATTGTGCAAACTCCAAACTTTTGTATGTTCATACTTATGTCAAATGAGAATGTTTTGCAAAGAGTTGTTATGATTAGAGCTTGGGGACTTGTTGCTCCCACATTAAGGGTTGGGTGGGCCCAAAAATTGGGGGTTTTTTGTCCCCAGGCTCTTATCACCGCAACTCTTTGTAAATGATTCTCATTTGACATAAGCATGAACATACAAAAGTTTGGAGTTTGCACAATACCTGTAAGTGTCAAAACTCAAACATCTAAAAGTCCAGTGTACACCACTGATATATGTATATATATATATACATACATATATATATATATATATATATATATATATATATATATATATATATATATATATATATATATATATATATATATATATATATATATATATATATATATATATATATATATATATATATATATATATATTAGGGTGGAGCTTGTTTTTGAACTTTTGAAATATTATCTTCTTACCCTCTCATTTTGTTCCTATATATGACTAAATAATTCAGGCAAAATATGAGAACAATTAAACAATATTTAGGGGTAGCTCAATGATGATAAAGTTTCGGATACTCGACAGCTGCGGTTTGGCTACACTTGATTTTTACATAATATTGTTACTTATACCAGAATAATTCTCATGTTAAATTAAGAACTTAATTTTAACTACAAAGCTAAATTGCACTGTCCTAAATCATCATATACTCCACAATTATGGTCTATACTATCGCATTTGATCATTGACCAACCAATGCAATCATGGCAAATGGAAATAACCCAGATTCAATTTTTTGCTGACTGTGTAATTTTTACATAAATCAAAACATAATCCCAGACAGACAGGATCACTAGCTAGACAGACTTGTTTACTGCAATGCTGAGTTGCTGACTAAGCAACACTGTTAAAGCTGTATGCTTATTTTGTTTACTAAATAGAGGCATTGTTTTAGTTATTAAAATATAAATGGCAATTTAAGTTGAAATATTGTTTAAATAAATTTTCTTGATTTTCAAATTTAAAGAAGATTTCTATAATTTTGCTGTTGACTTTCTTCTCTCAAGTACCTGATTCTCATCAATTGGTAAATTAAAAGATTGATATATTAAAATACCTTAACTCTTTGTGTCTTGTGAGTGTAAAATTGTAAATAGTAAATATATTAATAATTAATTAATTCTATAATATAATATGGATGTTAAACTGATAATGCTGATGAATGTGATGATGATGATGAGATAAATAAATGAACATAAATTATATGTAATATAAAATATATTTTTAAAAATAATTAAACAAACCATACAATACATGTTAAAATTTCTGACTTCAAATGGTCAAATTTTTCCAATGTATTTTTTATATTTATTTCAGATAAATATTCAATTCTGAATTATTGAAAATGTCATCTCGGGCAAAATTAACCAGACCTCAAACTGAGTTGAATCTACTTGGCGAAACTATTACTGAATTAACAGGCAGCAAGCTGCCATCATTACATATGGCGCTTGGATTTTTCTTGTATCACCATCTCGAATTAAAGGAGACTATAAAACAATCATTGGCTGTTACCATCACGGAAATAACAAAGTTTTGACAAAAAGCTAGAATCCCGATGAGAGATCATCAGAACTGCCAAACTTGAACAGACATTTGAAGAATGGCGTCTTCTTAAGACAAAAAAAGCGCGAAAAACAACAACTTGGAGAGAGTCGGCTTTTGTTTTAAGACTTGAAGATCTCTTTGATGTCGCTCACGCCCATGCCCTGACCAATACATCAGTTTTACAAGAAGACAAGGATTTCTTAGTAGCCCAGTCAGAAAAGGGAAGAAGGAGGTCAATGGCTGGAGTAGATGAAACACTTGCTGCTAAGGAAAAAAGGGCTTCCAAAAGAGATGAGCAAATGTTTGCCAGGCAACAGCGAATGGAGCAATTGAACCAGCTAGCCGTTTCTACAGCTGAACTGAAATCATCTAGTTCTGAATCTGAAAACAGTACAGCAGAAGATGTTGAAGAGACTGAAACTAGTGACAATCCAGATGAGGGAGGTGTTGGAGGCACCACTTTTCAGACACCTAAAAGAAAGAGGGGATGAAAAACTGTTGTTACTCCAGAACTCGCTGCAGCTCTAGATCGAACAAAAATGTCAGACCGCAAGGCTGTTTTTGTTATAGCAGAAACTGCCAAAAGCTTAGGACAGAATATCAATGAATTTGCTCTTAACAGAGACTCAATTCGCTGACACAGATTGGAACACAGAGTTCAGAGATCTGCAAATATAAAAGCTGAGTTTCGGGATAACGTTCCTCTTGTTGTTCACTGGGACGGCAAACTGATTCCTGATCTACTTGGAAAAGAGAAAGTTGATCGCCTGCCCGTATTGGTTTCAGGAAAAGGAGTCTCTCAGCTACTCACAGTTGCCAAGCTTCTTTCTGGAACAGGCGAGGCACAGGCTGCTGCCGTCTTTAGAGCCATTGAAAACTGGGGCATAGCCGACAGCATCCGTGCAATGTGTTTTGACACGACCAGCTCAAATACTGGTCGGCTTGCTGGTGCCTGTGTCCTCCTAGAAAAGAAACTTGAGAAAGAGCTCTTATCACTGGCTTGTAGGCATCACATTATGGAACTGATAATTGGTGCAGTGTTCCAAGTGTGTATGGGAGCAACATCTTGTCCAGAAGTACCACTATTCAAACGTTTCCAGCAATACTGGGGTTTCGTAGACACTGCTAATTATGAGTCAAGGATTGCAACTGATGATGTCGAACGTCTCATGGCTGACATAAAGCAAGACACTATCGATTATGCCAACAAGCATCTTGAACAGAGCCAGTCGATTTTACAGTCGATTTTTAACACGCGATGAAACGCAGCTGCAATTCCTGCTGCAAGTTGTAGAAGACCATCGCAGAATGTACCCTGATAGCAGGAAACAAACTCTGTCTGGGCTGCCGAAACCATGAATTTAAAACAATAATTCCTGAGTTTGCTCTGGACATTGTCAGGCTGATACCCTAAACTGTAAAAACTGAGCTTAGAACTCATATTTAATGTGTTTAAAAATGTTAATTGTGTTGTTTAAAATATATAGATTAGACTCGTTTCTCGTATAATTTTTGTAATATTGGAGGCACTTGAGCTACCGCTAAAAACAATTATTTCTTAGCCAAACTTTTTATACAGTGTTTCTATGTTATATGGAACAGATATGGGGGGTAAGACTTTAAAAAATACAAATTTTATTTTTTTTTATTTTATAAGCTCCACCCTAATATATATGCATTTATATATGTATGCATATATATATATATAAATATATATACATATATATATATATATACATATATATATATATATATATATATATATATATATATATATATATATATATATATATATATATATATATATATATATATATATATATATATATATATATATATATATATATATATATATATATATATATATAGGGTAAACTGGGGTAAAGTGAACTGTTTTTGATATTTAAAGGAAATATTTTCAAAATAAAAGCCAAAACATTTTGCAGTTTTCAAAATTTATACCATTTAAAGTATTAGGTACAATATAAAACAAAATACTAAGATTAAAAGCTACTTTTACAATATTAAATATATATTCAAAAAAAACATGTCCACTAGTTCACTTTACCCCCACATTGGGGTAAAGTGAACTACTTCATCTTTAACTCTTTTGTGTTTGTTATTTCTAATAAATTAGTTTTTTTATTTTGTATTTTGCCTTGCTGCTTGATCTTTCTTTTAAAGCATTCGTTTTCTTCATCATTTAATCTTTTAAATGCATCTTCTGATGTAAGACACTCACCTCCATAGTGTCTTTTTATTTTTTTTGTAGGTCGTTTGTTGTATGAACGACCATCACCCTTTGTGGCCATTAACTGTTCTTTCACTATTTCTCTAATGATTTTATTTCCAGTAGAACAATCTACATTTGATATTGATAGTTGATTTATTTTTTCATTGTTTAAGTCTTTTCCTACTGATATTATAGTTTTTTGTGAATTGTATTTATTTGTTGATTCAATAGAAAAATTTTCACAAGTATCGTTCTGATCATTGACATTGGTGTCTAAAACGATGTTTTGAGGGACGTTATTATTATAGTTATTTGTTTTCTGAGAAAAAGGGTGTTCATAGATTTCAGAAGGATTTAACTTGTCAGATGCTATAGCAGATGGATCAAAGGGAAAAATTCCAGTTTTGGCAAAGGATTGTACTAAATGAGCTGGCTTAAAGGAGGTATCATAAAGTTTTTTTAATAAAGATGGAAAAACAGATTTCCCAACCACCTTCAGCCTTGACTCGGTATACCAATTGGCCAGAATTTCACGCCATACATGTTTAACTTGGCGAAAGACTCCTACATCAAGTGGCTGAAGCAAATGCGAACAGTGTGCTGGCAAACACAAAATAGTTATATGATTTTCAACTGCTTTTTTAACAGTTTCTAAAGAAATATGACTAATGTGACCATCAAAGATAAGCAAAACAGGCTTGGGTGTGTCTTTCAACCATAAAACAAGATGGTTAAAGTATTCAGTGAAAACTTCTGTTTCCATCCAACCGTTTTTTGTCACCCCATATAAGGAACCATTTGGTCCACCAGTCATCCACTCTTTATACAAATTCTTCCCAGCAAATAAAATAAATGGAGGAAAATTTCTTCCTGCAGCTGATATTGTTGCTAGTACAGTAAACTGTTCTTTTCCTGATCCAGGAGCAATAGATACAGGGTTTTTAATACCTCTTTTGCAAATAATTTTTTTATTTATTGGGTTAGTGCAAAACCCACTTTCATCGCAGTTTAGTATTTGGGCAGGTCTATTCATAATGTCACATTTTTCCAATGTTGCTTTAAGTAATAAAAACCAAGCATCAATTACAGTTTTATTACAAGCTAAGGCTCTTGTTAATGTCAAAAGCTCTGGAGTTCTTATAGATATTTCTTTCTGCCAACGATTTAAAAAATTACAAAACCACTGATCACCAGCAACACCATTAACAAATTTTTTCTGAAATCCGTTTAATTCAATATACGTTTGAACAAGTTTCATAAATTGTTTTTTATCTAATCCAAATCCAAAATCAGAAAATGCAGATAAAAGTGAAACAAGATCTTTTTCAGCATCAGCAGATAATCGGTTTGGTCGCCCTTCACCAACTTTTGAGCATTTTATGCCTAGAAGATGTCTTGCAATTGTACTTCTTGGAACACCATATTCTTTTGATGCAGCATACGAAGTCATTTCTTTATTTTTAACTTTCGAAATGGCATTTTGCAACAAATTAGGTGCATATGTTTTTCTTCGAGATTCTTTTTTCTTAATGTAGTTTCTTGGCATTATTTCAATATATTATATTTCTGAAAATAATTTTAAGAATATTTAAAAAAAAAACAACTTATTTTAAGAGTAAACAATTTAGTTAAGTAATTACAATTTATATATTCAGTTCTACTAAAAATATTTGATGAAAAAACATAAGAAAAAGACTAGTTCACTTTACCCCCAATAGGCAGAAAAATAAGGGGTAAAGTGAACTAAATTGATTTACAAACTAAAAGCTTAGCTTTTTTATATTATGATAAAAACTACAATTTTTTTTTAACAGCATTATATTATCTTTAAAATGTATATAAATTATATAACTGATGTTCGCATTAATAACAACAAATCATGAATTTACTAAAACCCATAGCAAAGTTTGAGATCGTAATTTTAAAACTTCCGCCAAACTCGCTTTTTAAAATGGCTATTACATCAAAACAAAGGCTATATTTTATTAATTTTTTTATTTAAAAAATTTCAAAATGTTGTATTAAGCAAAAATAATGCTAAATTACTTAACAAAAAGTTTTTTAAACATGATAACTTTTTAGTTTAAAAAAATAGTTTACTTTACCCCTAGTTCACTTTACCCCAGTTTACCCTACATTGTGCTTACTACATCCATCTCTTTATAATTTATTTTCAAGGAACTTTTTTAACTCAAGCATGATTTAGCCTCAAAGCATCATTGTAGATTTTCTGTGTATATATAGCTAAGATAAATAAAATAATATTATTAATTTAAATGAAACAATGTTATTAATGCAGAATAAAAATTATGCAGTTAAGCTAATGTTTTATTTATCCAAATAATATGCATTAAATATATTTATAAATATCTTTTTCTTTACACTTTTTTTAAATCACTATTATGCATGTTTTAATTATGACTATTTTACATGTTTTAATTAAAAAGAAATAAAACCTGCTCACTGACAATTGGAAAATCTTTTTCTTTACACTTTTTTTAAATCACTTGTGTGTGTATATATATATATATATATATATATATATATATATATATATATATATATATATAACTATGGATAGAGATCATGGTGTATATACCACAAGTAATTGCAGGTAACTTAATTATTTAATAATTAATTGTTTGTGTTTTCACAACATGATGTTAATTTTTTTTTTAGTCGTGCACATACTATAGTTGCCATCAATTTTTCACAAAAAGGAAAAAATGAGCAAAGTGGACAAAACACTACCAAAACATCGGTCATTAATTTGGTGGATTTAGCTGGAAGGTATCTATTATAAAATGCTGTTTTATTCATTTTTAAATCAAATATATATAATTATATATATATATAAATATATATACAAATTCATACTGCCAATGGTAACCGCAATATGTGCATCTATAAGTACAAAGTAAATCCCAAATCACGTTTTGATGTTCTCAATGGAACATTTAGCATTGTGTGGAAAATGTTTATTTTTTCCCTCAATGTTTTTTGTTGTTTTGTCAGTGGTGTATTTCATTGTTTATATTTTAAATTGTAAAAAGTTTTTAAAAGAGAATTTAGCAAACATTTGTGGATAAGTAACAAATTAAGTATATTTAACAAAGTGGTAAAGAGAATACTCTAGTAACATAATTATGTAAATGTTTATATCATATTATACATAAATATAAATAAAACATACATATAAATTATATGTATGAATTATATATATTATATTATATATATATATATATATATATATATCAACCCTCGGAATTAGGAAAAATGAGGTCGGCAATAATTTGCCGACCTCAAACACTTTCAGGTTGGCAGTTAGGTCAGCATTGCCGAATGCCGACCCTAATTCTAAGGGTTGATATATATATATATATATATATATATATATATATATATATATATATATATATATATATATATATATATATATATATATATATATATATATATATATATATATATATATATATATATATAGATAGATAGATAGATAGATAGATAGATAGATAGATAGATAATAGATAGATATAGATGGAAAATTTCCATAAATATTCAAAAGCTTTCCAGCCTATGACATATTCATAATGATTTTCATAATGATATTTATTATTTATTAAAAATGTCTACGACAACTTAAAAAAACATAACTTTTATTTTTCTTGTTGCAATTGGCTAAATATCTTGTAAAGTGACATATAGGATGGTGAGTTAGGACATTATCGGAAGCAGCCAGATAAATTTTTTGTGTAGAATTTTTTTTTTATTGTTTCACTTTTGTTTTTGTTTCTGTAATTGATGCAATTCGAGTTTAAAAAAAAAAAAGTATAATACACAAAGTTGTTTATATTGTAAGTAAAATTATAGATGGTAGATAAACTTTTAAATTTTATTAATTCAAATTTCAAATTCAATTTTAATTATTCAAATATTTAAAAATTCATATTATTAAATTGTATAACCTTGTTATTATTTTATATATATTTTTAAATTTAATATATTTTGTTTATTAAATTTATAACTTGAATGATTTAATAAAAAATAATATGTGATTGAAAGTTGTATCTAAGGTTGTATACAGGCTCGCACAGAGACTTTTTGGTGCCTAGAGTCAATTTTTGTTCGGTGCCTTAAACTTTGGATTCCTAGATATATTGAATTAAGCACTGTTGAATTTCACTGTGAATTTCAACTGTAAATTTCAACTGTGAATTTCAACTGTGAATTTCAACTGTAAATTTCAACTGTTAATTTCAACTGTGAATTTCAACTGTGAATTTCAACTGTGAATTTCAACTGTGAATTTCAACTGTGAATTTCACTGTTTGTTGTCCGTATGTCTACTATTACATACAGTTTAATGAAAACAATAATTATTTTTGTATTAACTATTGCTTTACATAAACACTCTATATTTGAACTTGGTTATATATGATAAAACAAAAATAACAAGTACAATTAAAAATGAATGGAATTATTTATTTTATCAATAAAATGTTAATTATGAGGACTAGTCAGATTACAATAATTTCACTTTGTGGGCTTTCTTCTTTGCTAAACTAGAGATGACATTTTCGTAAGATAAAATCTTGCAAAGGTATTTTTCAATTGAAATCACCATAAGGTTAGTAAGTCATTCTTCAGTTATTGTTGATTGCAATTTGGATTTGATGAGAGCAAGCTTACTAAAAAAGTGCTCTCCATCAGCCACTGAACCTGTGGTTGATTTAAAAATGCGAAACATAATGCAGATTAAAGGAAATATTGACTGAAGACCTTTCTAATATATTTTTTTGAGCAACTTAAAAGAAGAAAGAGATTCTATTTGTCTAAAAGTATTTGATCGCTTCATAACTTCTAAATGACAGATATTTTTTCAACCAACTTCTCTTCTTTTATATCATTTACATAGAGATTTGCTAGAACCTTTTTCTTTCTGATTAAGTTTTTTTTCATCACTAGATGGAGATGGAGAACATCATATGAACTAAAACATAGCTTTCGTCTTTTGAGCTGTATCCATTCTGTATCTTATCTGTTGGAGCAGCGTGTCAAGAGCAACAGTAAATACGTTCACCTCATTCGTTTTTGTGGAAGCAGGCTGTGTTCATCGACTCACCATGAAGTGTTTTTCTTGTCCTTATCCTCTTCTTAAAATCATTTTGAAATCCAAACAAAGCTAACCCAGATGGAGGATTTGGGGCCAAGAAGAACATAGTCGGTCAAGATCATCGATTAGAGTCTTTAAAAACTTTGTCTCATCATCCAAAAAAATACTTTTTGATTAAAGAAGGAGGCAGATAGCGTTGACACATAGGAAAGCCTTGAACCAGAAAAAAGTCAAAACAATGAATTCAAATGATTGAATCCACTTTTTGAGTGCCTTAACTAGAGTCAGTTAATGATCTTCTAAATCAAGTTCTTCAAGAAGTTTCAAGGACTTCAGTATTTCTTTTGGTCATTTCGAAAATTGCCAGACAGCCTCTATGCGCACACTCCATCTTGTTTGGGACATTTGGTGAAAGGACTGCCCAGTTGCCTGAATCAAACTTTTCCAGCACATGGGGCAACTAATAAAAAAGGTTATACAACGATTGGATGTTGCCAAAATAGTTCTTGACTACAATAAATGATTCTGCAGAATGAATGCCAGCTAGATTGAGACTATGCGCACTGCAAGGCATGAACAAAGCTTAAGGATTTTTTTTGAGAATGATGGCCTGCACTCCTTTGTATACACCAAACATATTAGCCCCGTTACCATAACCCTGTCCTCTACAGTTCTTTAAATCAATTCGGCTTTGATCCAAAACGTTTATAATCACCTTTGCAATGTCAGAACCCTTTTTTTTTTCTCCAGATATTCTACCTTCAGAAAACGCTCATTTATTATCCATTTTTACTATAGTATATTTCTACTGATTTAAAATAAAAGTAATATAAGTATACATATATTAATGCATACGCATTTTCTATATTAATGTTTAATAAGATATATTCATATAGTGGAAATAACATTTTTTTTTTTTGTATTTTTAATTAAATTTAGAATAATAAATATGTAAAGTCTGTTGTAATAAATTCTAATTGTAATAAGAGTCTTTTAGATTCTGTTTTAATTTTAAAGAGTAGTGCTTTTTATGATTTTTAAAAGTTTTAATAAAATCTTTTATTGAGGGTCCCATGTTCTCCCTTTGTCCATGTGCCTAGTTAAAATATACCTAGTGCCTGTCCCACGCCCCCTCTGGGCGGCCCTGGTTTTATAAGATGTATTTCAAAATATGATTTTATTATAATAAATTAAAGTTTACCTAATTCAAATGAAAAAAAATGAAAACAGCATGCTTATTCAATCTGCTTTTAACTACATGTTTATTTCAAACATAAAACTGTTTATTAAAATTTATTTTGTTAAATTTTAAAATAAAAGTGGAGATTGATTTCCACTTTACTATTCACAACAAACCTTTTTGGTTAAAATTTTCTTTGGTAGATATATATATATATATATATATATATATATATATATATATATATATATATATATATATATATATATATATATATATATATATATATATATATATATATATATATATATATATATATATATATATATATATATATATAATGGGTGAGGAGATATATATATAATGGGTGAGGAGTTACATAAAAATCAAAGCCTTGTATTTTTAAAGAAATAAGAGCAATTTTTTTAAATATTTTTTTCAAGTTATTACAGTATTTATTTTAACAAAATTATTTTTTATAAACCGATAACACTTGTTATTGGTTTATAAAAATCAATAAAATTGAGATTAATATCCTTGTCGGCTATTAATCTCAATTTTATCTTGATACCCTTCATACGTAATTGTAAAAATGTTGCATCAATTTTTTCAAACACTCTTTGATACGCCCAATCATTTGCTGTGATCAATCTTTTGGCCTCCCATTCACCCTCATACACATTGTGAGCCAATACTCCCCAAAAGTCTTTGATTGGCCGGGCTTTGGGGACATTAGGAGAGTTCATATCTACCAGAACGAAATTGATATTTTCATCCATCCAGGAAATGGCCTCTTTAGTCCTATGAGCGCTAGCTAAATTTGGCCAAAAAATGTAATTTAGGTCTTGATGATACTTATCAATTAATAGTATGTCATTCCTCTAAGCATTCTTTGATATAAATGCTTGATTTTATTGCAGCCAATGTTATTGATCAAAAGAATTTTTTTGGAAATTTTTCTTTTCCGCAAAACGAAATTATCTGGACATTTGTCTTTGTCATCTGTGTAATATCCGGCATTTCCTAAAATTAAAACACTCTTCTTATAGTTCTTTATAGAGGTGATTTACAAGTTTTCAGCCTCTTTTTTGTGCCCTTAGACACTGTCCATTATTGTATTTGGATGTTTTTTCATGTTTACAGTACTTAATGTTCATTATGGCCAATTGTGTACAAATTGTCTTTTGATCGACAATGAATTTATGTGCGAGTTTTCTTTGACTTACACCTTTTTAATTGTTGGTCAACCTGCAAAGTTTTGCTTTTTTTTCTTGAGTCCACGATGATGGGCGTCCAGAATTTTATGTAAATTTTAAACTCTGTTCTGTAAGGTGTCGGTTGATAAAATTATATGCTGTTTTGTGACAGATTCCTTCTTTAATAAAATGGTTAGCAGCTTTAATAAAATAGGTAGCTTTTGGATTTTTTACAAAATAATTTTTGACATTATTTTGAAGAACTGCTCTTTCTTTGTGTGTGTACAGGCCTTGTGATAAAGCTGGAGCAATCGCTCCCCGCATGTGAAACACACCCATAAACGACCTTCCAGGCGCGACATATAGCGCTTGCTAGTTTTGTAAGAAATCACACTTGTCTGAAGAACTTGCAAGGGAGAAAATTATTTGTTGATTTTATTGAAAATATTTTTAGTGAAAATTTTTTTCTCAAGTCAAAATATGCTTAAACAGTAGAGTTTGCATATTGTTAAATAAAGAAGTTATTTTTGTAATAAAGTACTTCACACATAATTTATATGTGACTTAAATTAATTCTAATTTATGCAGTATTAGTTTAAATTAAAAACAATTTGTTTCTTCTATTTGAAAGCTTAATTCAGCATGTTTTTTTTTAAATTCCAATTAAACTTTATCATATTATCTGCTTAATTGTACCCTGGTTATGTCAAATCATTCACTAACTCTATTTTTTTAGGGTCTAACAGTATTTTTTTAGGGTCTATTTGATTAAAAACTTCCCTTAACTAGAACTAGTACTTTGTAATAAAATATTAAAATATGCAACACTTCAATGAAAATTCCAAACTTAAATGTTAAAAAAATTAAATATCTAGTGTAATATTTATAAATATCTTATAAATAAAATGTATAAACATTTTAAACTAAAACTTCACTTAAAGCTTCGATTTTATACAGGTTCAATCACATTCTATTAATTAATGACTATTATATTTAAAATTTAAAATCATCAAAACACTGAAATATCAAATATAAGTTAATATAAAACAAAATATTTTCACTGGTATCTTCGAATTAGTTAAGCTTATATTAAAGTTTATTTATTAAAAAAGTTTAAGCTAAATGCAATTTAAAATTAAAAAAAAAAGTTTCAATAAATGATAGTTATAGCATATATATTTGTTATATAACTTTTGAATTGAAATGATTGGAAGCTTGCTCACAAACAATAAAATAAAAAATGTTACGTCACTACTTTCAGAAACCCATTTCTCAAAATATACGTCAGTACATAAGTTATTATATATTACATTTGTATAAGTATATATATACTTACACTAATATATATATATATATATTATATTAGTATAAGTCTTTTATAGATTTTTTAAGTATATAATCTAGTAATAAAATATTATTCACTTAATAATTTTTAAATGGCACATTCAGTTTAAATTAGAGAGCAGTTTTCTATTTTGTAGAAACAATGAATGAAAAGTCATTACTGTCAACAGATAGAATGGAATGTTTACTATTTTCAAAACGTTTTGTCCCAATGAGAATAGAAAATTTAAATTAAAAAATTAAAACTTGATTGAATTTCGAAAAATCAAAAGTTTTAATCCACAAGATTTTGTAAAAATATTTTTTTGCTTTATTGTTTTTAATTTTTCAAACATCTTTTGTAAATAAAAGAAATATTCTTCATCTTAATTGTTTTTTTATTTAACTATTATTTATTTTAAATTAAATTAATAACCTTTCTGCTGTTTAAAATGTCCGCAATCAAGCATGTTAATTTAACTCCAAAAAGGAAACAAAGTTATGTAGTCATCTTTTAGTTAATGGAGATTTTTCATTGTTTTTATTTAATATCAAAGCTGCAGTAACATTTTTTCCGGTAGATAGCATTTTATTATCATTTAGATAACATTTTTTCCGGTAGATAGACAAATGCATTAACTAAAAAACCAAAGCTTTTTTTTCTGATTTCCTGGACTTCACATGAAAACAAATTCAAACAAAAAATTGTCCACCCTTTTCCTTGTACACACTGGTACGCTTTTGAATGACCTTATCCCCATACTAGTAAACGTGATTTATCGATGGCCTCATGGCAACCAATTTCCAACTCTGAATATTACTCTCTTGATAAAGACTTGATGCCGAGCATGCATAATTGCTCGTTGATAACGTATTTCAGTATTACGAGCGCGAAATATCGTACTGGGTGGTTGTATTCATTACATGCACTGTATGTGTATATATATATATATATATATATATATATATATATATATATATATATATATATATATATATATATATATATATATATATATATATATATAATATACTTCATTATAAAATGAAATACCTAATAATCTATATATATATACATCTATATATATATATTTATATATATATTGGAACAATTTTAAAATTGTATTCTACAAAATAGAGTACTCAATGTTCTTAAAAGAACAGAGCAATTATAAATTAGTAGAAAATCACTTAACAACATTTTTTTTTCATTTTACACTGCTTCATCAACAAAGACTCGTCAGAAATGAATGATCAAATTAATAAAACTTCAATTTATACCAAAAAATAACAGGAAGTCGCAAATGTTTAAACTACTGTAAATTTTCACACATTTGTGGAATTTGCTGACACTATTATAAAAAGAATTCTTTAGAAATGATTTCTTATGCTTTTTTTTATAAAAATATTTTTAAATAAAGGGGGATTTAATGTAACTATTATTTGAGCTCACTTTTTTTAATAGTTTTTTAGGAGAAACTTATTTTTGTGCCTGCATTTAGAAATCAATTCCGTTTTTTGTTTAACAAACATTCTTGGTTTGCATGTGTAATTATTTGAAATTATTTTTGTAGACATAGTATGCATTTTTTGGAAATATTGTTGTATGCAGGCGCTGTTTCAAGGATGGACCAATTCAGTATAAAATCATCAATATTTTTATCTTTTAGTTCCCATATATATTTTGACAACATGGTGTCTTTTGAATACTTTTTATTTTTAAAAGGTTGCTTATGATTGGCAAAACGTTTTTTCCATTCACCCTCTTTTATGCCAATGTATTGTTTATCGGGTACATTCTTAGAGGAAACAACACATTTATATACCACATTTTTTGATAAACAACTTCCACTCATTGGACAATTGTTTTTTTGTTTACAATTATGATTTTCTGTAGTTTTTTCATTTAGGATTTCTTTTTTATTTAACAAAGCATTATTGTGACTTTTTATAATTCTTTCCATATTTTTTGTGCAACTGTAGCTAACTTTAATTGTATTTCGATTAAAAATTTTATGTAATTTATTAGAGGAAGGGAAATGCTTATCGACCATTTTATACAATAAAAATAATAAGTATTTGAAGTTTAGTTTTATTTTTTAGATAATAATAATTTTTTAATTAAACAGCTGAACTTTTTTTTTTTATGTGCACACAATGTCTTTATGTACAACATAAGGTGAACATAACTATATAATTTTTAATGAGCTTTCAAGATATATGGCTGGATCCACATCTTTCTTATGGAAAAAGTTCCAGCTTCTCTAGCTTAACAGCCCTGCTAAAAATAATATAGTATATAATGATTTTGTATTAACTACTGTTTTTTAAACATAGAAGTGTTTTGCAGACTTCTGTGTTTAATATTTAAACACAGAACTGTGCAGCTCCAACTACTAACCCTTTACTTTGCAAATATATTACAAAAAAGAGTACTTTAAAAAAATTGTTTTTGTTTTTTTAAAAAGTGAACGTGCTGATTCTACAGGAGCTACAGGTGATCGTTTAAAAGAAGGTTCTGCAATCAATCAGTCTTTGTCATGCTTAGGCAATGTCATAAAAGGTATTTAAGTTTATATGATTTTTGAATTTTTTTTCAAACACTTTAAAGTTTTTTATGCAACATTCTATGAACAAACGAATAATGACTTGACAATGTGACAAAAATCAACAATCTCAAAATTGAATATTTTTCGGTATAACAAATTATAGTGCAATTTTTATCTTTTTATTTTTTAGAGATTACAATAATCATTTATTACCTTGATGTACTACATTTGAATCATTTTGAAGTTATTTTTAATCTAAAACAAAAGACTTTAAACAAATTACATAAACAACATTATTACCATAAGTGTAAAAATACTCTCATTATTAACATGACAAATACAATAAACATCGCGTAACATCATTGAGTCCTCTACTTTAGGCCTTCTTGAATTTTTATACACTAACTTCTCAGAAAAACCATTAATAAAATCTATTAGCATCTTCTAAAGTTGCTTCTCTTTATTGTGCTTGCCATTTTTTTTCCTCCTGATTCCATTCTCTACCTTTGATAAAATCTCATTCATCCCTATATGGAATACTGTTGTCATATTTAAACTGGTTCTTCTCATGCCCTTACACTTCTAGACAATTTTTAAAAATTTATTTTAATTGTAGTCATACCTGCTATAACTGCCAAACTTGAGCCACTGCCTCATCATTGTAAGGTTGCACCTTTTTCTCTTTTCTACAAATGCTATTATGGTTGCTGCTCAAATGAGCTATCTAATTCAGCAAAGTTACATCCTTTTTACTTTTGTCTCTTCATGCTCTAAAAACTTTTATTCATCTAGTTTTTTTTTTCTTGCACATCAATGCTTTGGAACTCTCTTTCTTATCTTCATTTTCAAGTCTTTTGTTAAACATTTCCTTGCTCTTTAACATTATTCTTTGTTTTTTAGTGACTCCCAACTTAATAGTCTTGTTGGTTGTAAATTAGTTTTAAAAAAATAAAATAAAATCACAAGATAACAATAAAACGTAGTTTTTATGTTATCTCGTGATTTTATTTTATGTTATCTTATGATTTTATGTTATCTTATGATTTTATTTTAACATGCTTTGTAATGTTACTAGTAAACCATGTTTTTCTTACATTTTGAAATCAATTTATTTTTCTAAACTTTCAGTTAATGATCAATGAATTAAATTTCGAATCAAAAAAAAATTGTTAAATTTCAACAGAAGGCAAGCTAAAAGAAAGCAGAACAATAACAAAAGGTAAAAATAAAGAAGATTTTAATAGAAAATGGACACAAAAATCTTAAAATTTTGCCTTTCTTTTTAACAATGGTTCTTAACATAAATAAAACAAAGCTCCTAACATAAATAAAATAAGCCTTTAATTTTAATAAATTAAAAGATGAAAAAAAAATATAAATAATAATGATAAAAAAAAATTTGATCATAAAAAAAGTTTTTTAAGACTTTGAAACTCTGTCAAATATTTAAACTTGATTTTTAATGTCATTGAATATGTCAGTCAAACAAGAAACAGACAACATTTCCATGGAGCCAGCTAAATTTGAGTTACGAATACATGTTTACTGCTAAAAATACCTCACAAAAACTATGAATCAATCTAATTATTTCAAAGAATACAAATATTCATTTGAGTTACAGTAACCCAGCTTTAAGATTTAAATATCTTAGTAACATAACTACATGGCCAATTATTAATTTTAGACAATAATGACCTGAAGGAGTTTAGTTATAAAACTCAAAAAGTCATTTCTTTCATTATGGTCATCAGTCTTTTTTTGTTAAGCAGCTAAATAGATTTTTGGCTCTCCCAGTAGGTGTTCAAGTACTTTATTATTTGGTGATGAAACCGCAATAATTGTTTTTAAAGTGACATATAGCATGATGATGATGAAAACAAAAAAAAAACTTTTAATTTTGTAATACAAGTTACAAAAGAAAAAGTTTTGACCTCAAATTAATGTTTCAGTTCAAGATTTAATTGCTGATTGCTACTTTGATTATTCCATTGGAAACTAAAAAGATTTATTTACAAGACCTTTAATTCAAACATTTTTTCAAATCAGAAAATGGGAGATCAGTTTTTGCAAAGTCATACGCAGTACAAAATACAATGAAGTATTTTATGCAAATTAATCTGCTTTTGTGAAGTTAAATATCTTATGAGTTATTTTTGGAATGAAGCATAATTTTACAACTTTTTTTGTGTGCAGCTGATAATCTATTGCATGAAAACTTTTTCATTAGTGATTGCTTTTTTTGTTTTTTTGTTTTTTAAATATAAATAAATTAGGCTCTTCTCAAATCATACTCTTTGGTTTATATGGCAACTAAATTATTTGCAGATTTACAAACAGAACAATCAAGACTAATAGTGTTAACCTGTCAAATATCTTCGATTTTTCATTTTATGTCATATCTCTAAATAATAAAAATGCTTTTTCTACATCCAAGCCATTTATCAATTGTTGCAGTTAGTAATAAATAAATAGTTTTTTTTTAAAACCCAAAACATATTTTGTTTCTCTGTTTTGACTTTCTTCTCTATTTTTTTATTAGGTATTTTTCATGGTATATATATATATTTTTTTTTTAACATCTTTACTTCCAACAAGGCTGCAAGCAACCACTAATTAGTGTTCGAAGTTACTGGAAATATTACTTAAATAAAAAAGTTGTTAAAGTATGGTTCGCAAGTTTAAAAAGATAATGGATACCATCCCACCCCATCCAATCTCATCCCACTCCATTCCACCTCATTTCACTCCATCCCAATCTTGTTTTGAGCACTGTATCATTAACTATTTCTTCTTTTTGTTTGTTAATATAAATAGTTTTTGAAAAATTGTCAGGAAAATATTTTCAAAACTTACAAGTAGGCCTTAAAAACACAAACACTACTAAGTCATAATTGATGTTCTCCACAAGCACTGTTTTAAAAAAATACAAGTTAGACAATTTTCATTTTTAGAAATTGTGATGTAAACAAATTAAAAACTGAAAATGATTAAATTTAAACTAAAAAAACCACACTTTTTGGCATGGGCAAGCACCTTTTTGAAAAAAAGTTTGCAATTCCTTGGTTTATAGATATCTACATTGTTGCTACAAATAAAAACAAAAAAACTTTTTACAATATTCTTTTTAGGTTGACGGAATAAGGGGTACTAAAGTTAACACAAACATTAAAACACTAAGTAAATTTCTTTTCAGAATTAGTAATTTACATTTCAAAACAACACAAAACATTTTCCTAATCGATGTTATTGCTTTCCTTGTCATTTAAACTGCCTTTATATTTAGCATTTGTTTTGGTTGATGTTGCTAGATTAATCATTATTGGCTTCATTTCATTAACTTTACAAGATACTTTGCTGCATACTGATTTTTTTATTTTGTGGTAGACTAGGCATTCTTTATCAAAAATGGTTTACTGTACAAATGTCATTGCAAACACATTTTAATTTTCATTTATAAAATTATTCTTTTTCTTTATCTTTTTCATGCTTCTTCTTCTCTTTTTGATCCTTTTTTTTATTTTTTTGAATTTCAATCAACTCAACCTGTTTAATTATGTTTTGGACTTCCATAGAACCAATGTATGTTTGTGACACGTATATTTTTTGTTTTGTTCATGTCTTTTGGCTTTACCTTGTTTACTGTAAACAAACCTGGCGTATCTTCTAGATTTAAACTTTTCTTATAATTTTCTTTCAGAATCATCTGTGACTGCTCAAACATATTTCTCCAATAGTTTGCTGATCTATAACGATGATGTGTTTTTTACTAATTTGGACAATTAATTTGGAGAAACTGGAGTTAACAAGACATTTGCTGATCAATATGTACAAATTTTCTTTGGTGTACTTGGAACAAAATTGGCTGAAGACACTTGGTCCTGATTTTGAGCCATACAGTTTGCAGCCTTTTGAAATTTATCATGATGCATATTATTTACATTTAAACCTTCTTTAGATATCCCAACTCTCTTTGCAGCATTAATTATGGTATCCTTTAAAGCCCATTTGTTCCACATTGCTCCTTAAATTGCCATGAAACCTTCTTGGTTTATTGTTTGTAATGTTGTAAAAAGTTTATCTCTTTTTTTGTTATATTCATGATGCATGTTCTGGTTAGGACTTTGATCTAATAGTTGAGTCACCCCAGTTGTATCAGGAGGACTTATGAACAAGTTAATTTTCTTTTCATGGAGGAAATGTAAAACATTGTAGTCAAATCTTGAACTGTGTTCATCTGCTAGCATTACAACAGGTTGCTGAATGTTCTCTTCTGACAAATATATATCAAACTATTTTTATTTAAGTCCAATAAAGAATGATTATGCAGGCTTCATTTTTCAGTAGATGAGATATTTAAATTTTTTATATTTTTGACAGCTGTTTTTGGCGCCATATGACTAGTAATACCTTTACCAGCAAAGATAACTTGTGAAACAACAATATCACCTGAAATGTTAAGATATATATAATTAAAAATTAAAATGTAATAACAATATTGCTTTTGGTTAAACTTATATTTGTCTACCATGGTGATAAAAACATTGTTTATTAACACTAATATGGTTAACTAACACTTCCACAGTGATAAAAACATGTGGATTATTTTTTTAAATAAATGCAAATTACTACATTGGTATTATTATTTACACAAATAATTTTTGTTATTGTTACCTGCCAATGAAACAACTGGACATATTGTTATTGATTCATGATTTTTCCTAATCATTTTTTCGCAAGGTTCTCCACGTGCAACATATGCAAGACCGAAAGTGGTTTCATCAACCCCATAATTTATGAATTTATAATATCTCTATTGAGCATAAATTATATTAATTATAGAGCATAAATAAAGCAAATAAATTAGAGAAAAAAACATAAATTATTCCACTAATAATGAGACAATATTTATTATACTCTTACCTAAATGTGACTCTGCCATCCCTCTTGTACAGTTCAATGCCCTGTTAATTGGTACATTTCCATAAGTTGTGTTTAAAATTTATGTATAGGAATTATACGGTTATATAGTAACAGGTCTAAAAAACAAATAACAACATTTTATAAACAATTTTTTTTTTTCATTATAATTTAGTTTATAAAAAAACAATAACACTCTACTTACTTTCCTGTCTTTACAACATGTTTTGCATAATTAGATAGTTTGACAAATTTGTGACCACCTTGACTCTTGGTGTTGCAATAGTCTCTAATTTTTACTTGTGGCTTGCTTTCTTGATACTCCTTGGTAGCACCTGTTTTTATTTTTAATAAATTCTACAATGGAGTGTTTTTCTTCTATTGTCAAAATTCGTAACTGTATTTACTATCTAAATACTGTTAAAACGAAACAAAAAAATATTTGCTAGTTTGACTATTTTACTGGGGTTGGTGGCCTGGGATCTGTGGCCCATTTCTGTTACTAGTTTCAAGCATAAGTTACATCTTAATTTTATTTATTTTTAAATTTTTATTTTATTCTAAGTGATTTTCAATTATTTGAATTATATATGAATTTTAATAAAAATTTAGCTTTGGCTGATGCTTCATCTGGTAAAGGTCAAGTATTAGGTATGTATTTTTTTTCTTGCTTATTTATTTATAATAAGTATGATATAAGTATTTATAAGTCTTTTGGTTTTATCATTTGCATATATAGAACCTTTGGTTTAAAGACTAAGAAATTTTTCACTATAAAATTTGAAAAATAAATACTTGTGAATATGATTATATTCAATATTTTCAATAGTTTCTAGAGTTTGAATTTTTGTCTTCACAAAGAAGGGTCAAAGCATAATGAAATCTGTAACTATTATTCAGTGTAATTAAGAACACTTTTTATAAATCTTGAACAACTGTATTTTTATAAAATATAAAATCTTTTATGAACTTTTCTAGTTTTAGGTAGTGTTTAGTATTTTTACAATGTTTTTATTTTATTTGTTGTAATAATACTTTGCCACATTTATGTATTTACCATATATAAATATTATGGGTATATTGCATTATCTATGGTTATATTTCTTTAAATATTTTTAAGAATAGAAAATTTTTTTTGTGCAAAGAAATGTACGAATTTAGTTTGGCAAAAAAAAATACAAATCTGTATAAATCTGTATATATAATCTGTATAGTATAAATAAACATGTGAATAAATATATATGTTTACATAAATATATTTATCAAACTTTTTTTTTATTTTACACTGCCTACATCTAGAAATCCATTCCGATTTTTCGTTTAATAAACATTTTTGGTTTGCATGTGTAATTATTTCAAGTTTTTCTTGAAAGCATAATATGCATTTTATGAAAATACTATTATATGCAGGTGTTGTTTTAAGGATGGACCGATTCAATATAAAATCATCAATATTTTTATCTTGCAATTCCCATATGTATTTTGACAGTATGGTGTCTTTCTAATGCTTTTTATTTTTAAAGGATTGTTTATGGTTGGAAAAACTTTTCCAATGTTAGTGGAAACATTTTTGCTATATGGAAGAGGATTGGAGGGAGGGGAAAGAGGGGTTGAACCAAATTATATTTCTAATTCTATTTTGTTTTTTTTATTCTTTTTTTTAGGGTCAAATTTTAGTTCAAAATTTTGGAATCCACTTTTTTTAAGGGCATCTTCAAAAATTTGTTTAGAGAAATTGAATGCATTTTCATCAAAGGAGTTTTGGTTAATCTTGTTATTAATCAAAATTGGGGAAGATGATTTAAGCTAATCGTATTATACAATAATTCATCATTTGGTTTTTTGAAAGGCTTTGAGTTTTCGGAGAGGTTAAATGTGACATCAAGAAAATTCATAATTTTTAGATTTATGCTTATTTCTATTCAAAAGCCAATATTTAAAAAAAATTTTATAACATCTTTTCTATTTTATATCTCTTTTATAATTTTATTATCTTTTTTAGTTTTAATGAGCTGTGGACCAGATTTTTTACGCATTACTATTAAGCCATCATCACGATAAAGGCCTAAATCATTTATATTGATTATTTTACTTAATAAATCTAAAATAAATAGTCCAACAAGTTCATAAGTTTCTGTTCCATCATAACTGCCCTTTGTTACATCGAAGCAATCATGTTTTTTTTTTTTTTCCAAGTTTCTTTATTAAAAAATAAAGTAAGGTTTTTCTGCAATGTTTTATTATATGAATTGTCTCTTCTGGAACAACTGTGTAGGCGTTTTCAAAATCAATTGTTTAATCTAAAATATCTGCAGTTATTGAGGGGTAAAAATCATTAATGTCAAATTGAATAAATGTACATTTATTTTTATTTTCGATTATGGAGAACCAATTTATAACTTATGTGGTATTTTTTCACTATTGTAAATTTAATTTAATTCTAAGAATATTATTAATATATCTGTTGTAAATTTTTTAAGAAATCTTTAATGAAAAAAAATTCTCAAATCGTAATGGGCACTTCTCTAAAGAGCTAGTTTCTCTTGTGCTATCTACTAAAGTTCATTCTTGTGTCTCCCAACTCTAATAGTGGTTGCTTGTAGCCTTGTTGGAAGTTAAGTTGTTGAAAAAAAAAAGAAAAGCAACAGAAAATTGTAATTGTGAACAAAAAAAAACAATTGTCCAATGAGTGGATAATGTTTGTCAATATATATGTATATTGTTTCCTCTAAGAATATACCTGAAAAACAATATATTGGCTTAACAGAGGGTGAATGGAAAAAACTTTTGCCAACCATAAACAGTCCTTTAAAAATAAAAAGCATTCAAAAGACACCATACTGTCAAAATACATATGGAAATTGAAAGATAAAAATATTGATGATTTTATATTGAATCGGTCCATCCTTAAAACAACACCTACATATAATAGTATTTCCAAAAAATGCATATTATGCCTACAAGAAAAACTTGAAATAATTACACATGCAAATCAAAAATGTTTATTAAACAAAAAATCAGAATGGATTTTTAAATGCAGACATGAAAGTAAGTTTCTCCTGAAAAACTATAAAAAATAACTAAGCTCAAAAAATAATTAGATTAAATTCCCCCTTTAAAAAGATATTTAGGCAGAAGTAAACAATTCTAAAGAATTCTTTTTACAATTTTATCAGCATATTTCACAAATGTGTGAAGATTTACAGTAGTTAAGACATTTATGGCTTCCTGTAATTTAATTTTTGATATAAATTGAAGTTTTATTAATTTGAATATTTATTTCTGATGAGTCTAATTGATAAAAAAGTGTAAAATGAAAAAAGTTTGATAAATGATTTTCTACTAACTTTATGATTTCTTTGTTCTTTCAAGAACATTGAGCACTCTTTGTAGAATACAAAATAACATATACATTTAATATACTTATATATATATACATACATACATACATACATACATACATACATACATACATACATACATACATACATACATACATACATACATACATACATACATACATACATACATACATACATACATACATACATACATACATTATTTATATTTAATCTATTTAAATAATTTTTCTTTAGTTCCATTTCGTGATTCTGTCCTTACTAAACTGCTGAAGAATGCTCTTGGAGGAAACAGTAAAACTGTTATGGTACTTAATTGTTTTTTAAATGCATAATAAGTATTCAGTAAGTACTTTGATTCCAACGTGATGTGTTAACAAATTAAAAGTAAGAACTATGATTTTGACTTTATATCAAAAGCATATATTGTTGTTTTTGAAAACATTTTTATTTCCAATATTTAGTCAACTTTTGACATTCTAAATACATTGTTATATTTGTTTGATGTAAAAAATTTTAAATTCAAATTATTTTATAAATCTTTCATATAATTATAAAATAGTTTAATTGAAACAATTAATCAACATTAAAATGATATAAAGTGCTTGCTGGGTAACATATGTGAAGATTTTTAATGTTTTTGGCAAATAAATTTTTGTTTGAAAATAATAATTCAACTTTGTATAATTCAGTTATATAAAATTTAGTTGTTATAAATGTCTAAGTAAAAGTTAATTGTTGAGTAATAAAATGTTCAAAAAAAAATGAAAAAAAAAAAAAGTTATACAGAATGTATGTAATTATTGAATGCATCAAATTAAATAATTTAATAAAAATATGAAAAAAAAATTTATATAATTATTTTAATTGGTTCTAGATTGCTGCTCTTAGTCCTGCTGACATTAATTATGAGGAAACACTTTCAACCTTAAGGTTTGGTATGTATAAGTTATGTATAAAAAAATTAAAAATTCTTAGTTTTTTTTATAATTTTCTTAAGAATAATTCTCAATTTTTTCTTATATTATTTATTTAAAATATTTATTAATAGCTGACCGTGCCAAGTCAATAAAAACATCTGCTGTTGTTAATGAAAGTCCAACAGACAAACTAATCCGTGAGTTGCGTGAAGAAAATGCTAGATTGCTTGAGCAGTTGAAAGCTGCAAAAGGTGATCCAAAGGCATTAGCAGCATTAGCTGCTCAATTAAGCGGTGGAGATGATGAATCTTCAGAGAAAGGTGACAATAAAAGAGGAATAGATGAAGCTGGTAATTATTTAGATTTTACTTTTATTATTTATTACTTTTAAATAACTAACAAGTTATTACTTGTTTAAAAAATATATATATATATATATATATATATATATATATATATATATATATATATATATATATATATATATATATATATATATATATATACTTATATCGAATTTACAATATTTTATTTATTCAAATATTATAATCCAGTTATAAATTTTTTAGAGGTTGAAGCAATGAAAAAGGAAATGGAGGAGAGAGTAAGAATCTATTATCATATTGTTGCAAGAAACAAAATTATTATGTTGATGTTTTTAAATTATTTTTTAAATTGAATAAAAATAACGTTTACTTAAAAGATTAAATCTCTTCCAGTTAAAAAGAAACCAAGAAGAAGTTGAACAAATGAAAAAAACATGGGCAGAAAGATTAAAAGAAGAAGAAGCTGCATCAAAGGTTTTAAATTTTAATTTTTATTAAAGTTAGTTCATTGTAAAGTAAATATAAGATCATCATGTATAATAATAAATGAAAAAAGCTAAATAAAATAAAATTTAAAAATTAAAATAAAATTGTAAACTTAAAAAAATGAAGTAATAAGTATTTCTTTAATTTGAATTTTTCTTATAATTAATCATTCGTTTTTCAAAATCTATCGTTCATCTATTTTTTCATACATCTATTTTCATCATCTACATTTTTTCATATGATATTTATATCATCTCCTCCATGAGATGAGATTTTTATCATCTCCTCCATGAGATGATTTATGTCATCTGTCTGGTGATTTGCATTCCTTATAATATGTTTCTTTGTTATCACCAAAATTTGATAATAAAAATTCAGTAAAATAAATTTCGTTTTAACTTAAAATTTTGTTAATACACATTTTTTTGAAAATAGCTTAAGGAAGAAGAGCTGAAAAATGAACATAAAATGAAGAAAACTACAGCACATCTATGGAATCTCAATGAAGATCCTCAATTGACAAATATGATAATACATTTTTTAAAGCCAGGTTATAATATAATTGTTTATCATAATTTAACTTAAATAAAATTAAATATATTATTATAAGTTAAATAATAATTTTTATAATAAATTATGACTTGCTTATTTGCTTGCTTCACAATATATTTGAATAATTGTGTTATTCAATATACAAATTTTGTTATTTAATTTGAAAAATAATTTTCAAATGTCAAAAAAAAATTTAAAACTTTCATACAAAAATATTAATAAAAGTTAAAATATTAATAAAAGTTAAAGTATTTTAATATTAATAAAAGTTAAAGTTATAAAATAATATAAAAGTAGTAAGTTAAATAGAAATTAAGTGAAAATAAGTAAAATTATATATATATAAAATTAATCAATTTATTAAAAAGTAGAAACAAATACTAGTTTGAAAATCAACACTTTTTGTGATAATTAATTTGAGCTACTTGTAAGTTTATTAAAAAAAAATGAAAATTATTAGATGTAAAAGTTTAAAAACATGTAACTTAGTTACAAGTTATTAATTTTTGGTATTGTGCTTGGTATTTGTTACATTGTTAGCTAAAATTATCTCTAATCAATTAAATAATTCAAGATTTTTTATAATGTTTGATAGTTATTTGATTTTTAATATAAAGTTGACAATAAAAGCATACCCAATATTCTACCATATTGAAGTTTTCAATTTTAATAGCACTGTATTCTAAGTTTTAGAAGCTGTTCATACTCTTAGATGCTTAATACATGGGAGGGGATGTTCATTCAATTTCTAGAAATTTTTCCCACCCACCCCAAGCTTATATATATATATATATATATATATATATATATATATATATATATATATATATATATATATATATATATATATATATATATATATATATATATATATATATATAGAATAAAAGAATAAAAATAAAATAAAAGAATAAAAGCTTTAAGCATAATGCTTTAAAAATTGTCAACCTTTGAACAATTCCTTTAAAAAAGTTTTCTTCAAAATCCTTTATTGTCACAAGTTTACATTTCAAAATTGACCAGTGTTTCTCGATGATCAGTTGGATTTATTTTGCGGCAATATAAACAGACTCTATTGAAAGAGAAGCTGGAAGTGGAAAAAAGAAATGATTTAAATATAAATATAAAGCAAAATCAATCATTCACTCCATTAAGGCAAATACATGCAGTTGCAGAAAGACTTTACGAGAAAATTAAATGCAGCCAAGCTTTGATAGGAAAAGTGCTTATATCTCAAGAATATAAAACATTTCATAAAAAGAAAACTCTAAAGCGATCCATTGATGGAGAGCAATTAAAGCTATTTGTAGTTCAAAAAAGCTACAAAAAATTTTAAATCAAGAAAACTTGTGCATAATTGCATGAAAACTTGTGCATAATGCATAATTGAAGATGGTGAAATCTATTGCAAAAAGGACTTTTTACAGATGCCAAGGAAGCAATATTTTTATCAGTCGAAAGGTAGATATGTTGCCCAAAAATTCAAGTATATTCAAGCTGAAAAATTTGCTCCCAAGTTCCTTATTTGGCAAGCAATCTGCTCCTGTGGTTTAAAAAATACACCATACATAAACTTTGAAAGCAGATTTATATATAAAAGAATGCTTAAAGAAACACCTTTTTCCATTTGTTAAAAAGCATGAAATGCCCACAATATTTTGGCCTAATTTGGCTACAATTCACTACTCCAAGAAGTATCTAGAATGGTATGACCAAAATGGTGTTGAATTTGTTCCTAAGTAAGCAAATCCTCCAAATTGTCCTGAGCAGCAAGTTATTGAAAGTTTTTAGTCAATTATAGAAGGAATCTTATTGAAAAACAAGAAATTAGCTACAAATAAAGAAGGTTTAAAGAAAAATGGATAGCCACCTCAAAAAAAGTAACTTAATGCAAGATCCAGCAGTTGATGTCAAGTACTTGCAAAGGTACTCAGTTTCTATCTAGGCATCCGATAAAAATGTAAAAAATTATTAAAATAAATAAATAATTCAATTAGCTTCATTGTATCAAAAAATTACAAAAATCTGTTAAGTAGGTTTTGCATAATTAACAGTTAAAGGGTGCTGAATTTCATCATGTTCAACTGATAGTTTAGAGCACTTTTTAAAACATTTAACATTTTAATATTCAAAAATCATGAAATGTAGACAAAGTAGAAAATAAATTTATTTATTAAACATTTAAATCAAATAAACAAGATGCTCTAAGAGAAAATTTTAAAAATGTTTTAACAAAAAAATAATTTTAAATATAAGAGTTAATATCATTCAACCATAGCCAATAATTTAGGGCTTAAATAACCAATCATTGTGATATCTTTTGTTTAAGAAATACTAGATGGAAGTATTGATTGATTTTTCCAAAGAGGCTCCCGTAATCCAATTCCACATGAATAGAGGTTGGATGCAAAGATAGATATGATAGATATCCAGAATTTCTTGAAAGTAGATTAACCAATCTTAGTTAGTTTTCAGACTTCTTAACATGGCAGTTGGGACTGCAAACGTCCCATATAAACCGACATGATTTCTGTTTGAAATCTTATATAAATAAAAATATTATTAATAAGAAGTTCTAGTACAGGTAAAGTGATAGAAAACTTAAAATAATCAGATGTTAAAAATGATGAGTGATTTGCTTTCTAAATTTTCTAGAATTGAGTTCTTTTACATTTAAAGCCATATTTAATTCAAAGGCAATATTAAACCAGTTATAGTAATACATATCAATACCAAATTTAACTTTTTGAAGCATGTTTTTTAAGTGTCAATATCTAGACTCTGAAATTTGAGAAATACTCTATTGCTGAGATATATTGTATCTTAGAGTCTAATTGCGATCTAAAAAATTCAATCCATTAAGTTTTTGTTAAAACTATAGTTACATTGAAAGAAAATTCAGTCATCATCTATGAAGAGTCTTTTGCTAAAAAAAAGACTTTTCTGTTTTTGAACCCAAAAAATAAAACAGACATTGATTAGCTTTGCTTGACCAACAGAAAGATAATTATTTAAACATACCTGTAATTCTAGAATAAGAACACCTTTAAATAATTTTCTTGCCACGGGCTTCGAGTGTTGATGGCATACAACTTTACAATAAAAACATATTACTTGCAATGATGCGATAATTTTCACTTTGAAGCATATTGGAATACTATATATAAGTTTTTATTTTGTTGATTATTTTTATGTGTAGCCTTAGCTATAATGGCTATGCCCTAGATCCGTGCCTGATATATATTTACACAAAATTTTGTTATTTTTTTTTTTTAACACAAAAAAATTACTCAAATAAATATGCTTGAGTTAAATTTTTTTTTTTGGAACAATAGGAAATCTGTTTTTTTTTACACCTAACATGTCAATAACTAGTCCACTTTATGTTATTTTTTTTTATTAATTTAACTTTATCAAATAAATACGAAAAAACATGCTGCAAAATGTTGTAAAAAAAAGACACAAATCTTTTAAATAATTTTCGTTTTACTTTCTTAACTGTTATTCATGATTATGTTGATTTACATGTTAGTTTGACAGTTTGCATGATAAATTAAACTTATATTAAATTGAATTTAGAAGTTTTGAACATGAAACTCAAAAGAGTATAGATTTAAAAAAAAAAATTTAACTATAAAAGGTACAGCTATAAAATAAAATAAACAAGCGTATTATAAGATATTTTCTTCAATAACAATAGTAGATAATGATAATAGGTAGATAACAATAGTAGATAATGATAATATGTAGATAACAATAGTAGATAATGATAATAGGTGGCATATAACTTTAACTAAAAATATAATTTTGATGCATATAATTTTTAAAATTTGCAATTTTATCACACATTAATTATGCAGTAACTAGAAGTAACGTGATTTTGCTAAAATTGTTCTTTGTATTACAGTAATTTTTTTGCTTTTGAATCAGTAACATTTAAATAATTTTAAGTTAAAAATACTTTTAATTTGCTTGTACAAACTTTTTGTTTTATTAAGATTTTGTTGTTTAGAAATTTTTCTACTTAATTTAATTTCTATCTTTATTTTTTAAATTTAGTGTTTTTTATTTTACAGCTATATTTGTTTTTGATGTTTTGTTTTATAATATTTATATAATTTATATTTATGTAAAACAGTAAATAATGTATTAAAATTGTTTAGGTAAATATCATGTTGGAAATAAAAAAGGAAATCCAACACCAGAAATTTTGCTTAATGGATTAAGGTTTTTTTTAAATTAATTAGTTTGTGATAAAGTTATTGTTGTTGAGTTTTATGTCATAGAGTTTTATAATATCATTGGATTTTAACAGAACATCAGATTTAATCTGTAATTTGAATGTAAAAATTTTAAATTATATTTAATCTAGCTTTAATATAATTATATTGCTCCCAGGCAATAATAACAAATGCAAAGATGCATTCCTGATGAGTAATGCTAGTCTTTTTTATCAGACCCTTTAGTGAATTTATTGTGGCTCTTCAAATTAAGTTTCACCTATATTAGTCCACTACATAATTCTAATTGGATGTTACAGCATCGATATATTTTATATCATCTTTCTGACTGATTCCCTTTTTGTGTATTCATATATACGTACATATAAATGTTTGTGTATGTTTGTATATATTTTTTTACTTTGTATTTTCTAATGTTTAATTGAAATATATACTTGTTTGCGTGTATGTACATATGTGTATATACGCGTATATTGCATGTATGTACATACATGCGTGTATGGCTTACTTTATATACAGCCGGATATGTTGCATAAATAGGCCAAAATTAGAAGGCCAGTTTTTAAATATTATAAATTTTCGGGTTTTTAGTTTAAAAAGGTTTATATAGTAAAATTCTATCTTTCCGAACATTTTCAAGTTAAAAAGTTTATTAGTTTTTACTGATTTAAAATTTTTAGATTGATTTTATTTTTAAAAAATTGTATTTTTTGTAAAATTTGTAAAACTGAATTTCGCATTTCAATTTAAATAATTTTTCTTATTGCTAACAAATTGTATTAAAATATAATATATTCCTAATGAGCATTATTCCTAACAATTATTTTTATCCCAGTTTTTGTTTTAGTGGTCCTTTTATGCAAAAATTTAAAAAAAAAAATTTTGATAGCAAGTTTATTACAAATGTATATATATACAAACATAAACTAGATATATATAAAAACATAAACTACATATATATACACAAACTATATATCTTCTTTTTCTTTTCCCTTTGTCTACTTTTAAAAGACAAAGGGATAAGAAATTTTTTTCCATTACTTAAAATTATTTGTTCATTGTTAAAAAATTTAACAAGAGAAAGGCCCCATTCTAAATGATCTTCACAAACAAAACATCGATTTAAATTATATTCATATAAAATATATTCAGAAATTTTTCTAATTTCAAATACATTGGAACTAAGCAAACTTTTTTTTCACTGCATCTAGCATAGTAAAACAATTAAAAACAAGATTTGCCAGTAATTTTGAGGGAGTTATGAGACCTCCTCTCGATAAATTTTAATATATTTTGTATTTACATCAATGATATCACTTTTTAGCAACAAAGAATGTAGTTTAACTTTTTAAAGTAATTTCTGCATATATATCAGCAATAAAATAGAAACTTCTTTACTGTTTTCATTTAACTCACATTCCTGAATATCATTAATAAAAAGAATTTAGATTTCCAACTGAGTTAAAAGGTTTTAAATCCATTTTCCAAAAGTCAAAATTTTCTTTTAATTTTCTTTTAAAATATTCTAAGAAGTATTTACTTCACACAGCCCAACAAGAAATCTGCCACCTCTCATTTGACAGTATTTTGAAAAATGTCTTTCCCATGGATCACTTTGGAAATGAGAGGTAAGAACATAATTGAAACCTTCAAATAAAAAATCTTCAATTAAACTAGAAGTTGTTTGCAATGTTAAGATTAGTGCTTTAGAAGTCTGAGTTGTGAGACAATGTCTGTATTGCAAATTTTGCCACAACCCATTAAGCAAATGCACGCAAAAATTGTGGCTTACCATCCAATATCTCCTGCAGACATATTTATTCTTTGTAATCAGTAAACTGAAATGGTGGGAAAATAAGGAAACTTTTTGGTACTAATTAAATTAATTCTTATGTTTTTAAGCAAATGTACACTGTCATACATCAAATAAATTATATGATCTTTATAAGTGATGAAGAAATTTTTTTCTGGTTTATTTGATCCATAAATGCTAAGCAATTTTGAATAAACTGACACATTAGTTGGATGGTTATCAGAAATCAATGTGCAAATGTTAAAACCAGCATATCTTAATGTATTTAAACTTTCTTCTTTTTCGTCTTTAATAAAATCTCCAGTGACACTAGTCTTTGGGATAGCTTTAATGACATAAGAGATTTTTTAGACTAACAATTATAAACACAATTATTCCTTTGTAGAGATTACTTTCAGTATCTTGTCCAAATAATCTACCACTGTGGTATTCACAAGACTGCTGTAAATACATTTCATCAAAAAGGAGAACGCAATCATTATTTAAAAACTTTGGCATATAAAATTCGCCGAATGGTCACACACGAGCAGTGAACGCCCGAGGGAAGAAATGAAGTACATTAGAATAAAGGAGAAGTATTTATTAGACAAAGCATATTTTGACAGTTGTCAAGACAAAAATAAAGATTAATAGAGGAATATTTAAAAATAAATAAGACAGGCTATACAATTAAAACAGTACTCAACAATAATAACAATAAAAAAAAAAAAAAAAAAAAAAAATTAAAAATAAATAATAATAATATATATATATATATATATATATATATATATATATATTATATACACACACATACATATATATACATATACACATATATATATGTATATATATACACATACATACATACATACATACATACATATACACATATATATATATAAAATAAAAATAAAAAAATGTTTTATAAATACCAATATGAACTAAAATATACAAGAAATACATAACCAGTCAAAAATTTGTAAAACAAAAAACCATTCAACAAATTAAAAATATGCTAACAACAATGAAAGGACTAATAATGGAAAAAAAAACATTAATGCTAATGTGTAAACATAATTAGTGTAGTGATTAAGTAATAAACATCTCCTCAGAGTCGCGTCTATTATTACTGGCGTTTTGATGAGGATCAGCATTCATTGGCGTTTCGATGAGGAACGCCAATGAGGTAATTAATTTTCCCCTCATTTAACAATAGTTTTAATGATTTTATTGAATCAATTCCACGAGATACAAACTTTTTCAATAGTTACATTGATGGTAAAGGAAGTTGTTTCAAAAGAAGCGAATAAGCCTGAGATGATGAGTACTTTTGCATTAGTGCAAAACCTAATACTTTTGAAGTATATGGAGAACGATCTTTGGATTTGTAAAAGACTAATTTGGACAGTTCATTAACTTAACAATAGGAATTCTATTCAACAAGGTTGTGCATACGAGTCGCCAAGTTAATTTAAATAGATAAACCTGTAAGCTTACAATAGTTAATTGTTCTAAGCCATTGAGGAAGTTGGACAACTTTTATAATGCAAATTTACATGCAAATCATTATCAATGGTTATTGATTCAATAAAAGGAGTGAAGTCTACAAAAAATAAACGATAGTATAAAACAAAACTTTCATATCTTTGAAAACTAAACCCATTTGGAAAGTTAGATTAATGAAACATATCAATATTTTTTATCTTATCAATTTCTTGAAATGTATGAATTTCGTCTGGAATAGTGGAATATTATTCAGTGGAGGTTTTCGAAAGTTAGGAACTTTAGGCTTTATTGAAGATGGAATGTAAATTTCATCAGGATAAATGGTTGGAAAAGGGTTTAACTCATGTTTTAAAGTAACTTGTTTCCCATATTTTAAATACTTTAGTTCATAATGATCCAAGCATATAACTGAATGTTTACTTGGATTCCAATTTTTCTGTTAATAAATTTTATCCATTTTTCTTCTAAATTAGTATCTTTATTTGCAAAAAGAAAACTAGATTCACTTTTTTTATATTTATAGCTAGTTCAACAATTAACAATTGCACATTTATTCACCATTATAATCACTATCTCCCCAAATTAAAAAAATAACAATTAACTAACAGTGCGGAAATGCAAAAAAATGATCTTCTAGTTTTTGGCTTATTTATGCAAGATATCTGGCCATGTATTAAGTAGGCCATGGTACATATGTATACATACATATATGCTATTTTGTCTTTACACTTTTATATACGCTATTTGGTTTTAATTAATATTATGTTAGCTAATTTGTTTGTTCACAGTATTATGTGTGTAACATGATGGGATTAGCTAGTATTCTGTTTGGGTGACATTTTTACTACATCTTGGTTCAATCTTAGTTATAATCCTAATAGTTTGAAATCATGACGATTATCTATGCTAATATTTTTGTTGTTGTTGTTGTTGCTTTTATTTGATGTTTTTCTTGGCAACTTAACATTACTGTTGACGTTATCACCGTACTGTCATTGAATGACATTTCTACAAAATAACATGTAACATTTATACAGCACTTTTCTCATTTGAGATCATTCTTACCTACTAAATTTTATATCCAATTTTTTACATTCAGAGTACATTCTTGTCTATCAAGATCTTTATGACCCACCATTTTAAGTAATTACATATTTATATTTTATGCATTATATACATTATATTTTTTAAACTTTTTGCAAATTTTATTATTTTTGTTTAATTTTTTAGTTTTTTTTTTATTTAAACAATTTTTTTTTTTGAATTTAGCATTCAAAAGGATCATGCAGTTATAGAACACGATGGAAATTCTAATAAAATCAAAATAGTTCCTAACAAAGAAGCAAAAGTAGTTTGCAATGGAATTATTCTTGTAGATGAAAGCGAACTGCGGCATGGTGATAGGTATTTTTTATGCTGGTAATCTTTACAATGATCAATTTAGTCATATGACTTATTAAATTTAGTGAACAAATTATCAAGTTATTAATTAAGTTTAACAAACAATTATCATTGTGATAAGGTTAATGAACAGTTGTCATTTCCATAAGGTTGATGAACAATTATATTGTGATAAGGTTGAGGAACAATTGTTATTGTTATGTATTGACAATCGATAGCATCTATTGGTTAGGGAAGTAATAATAGGAAATATATTTAAAAATAAATAAAAACATAGTTTTGATTATAGTGAAAATGATGAACATTAAAATAGCATCAATAAAGGATTTTGTCATCATCATTGTTGTTGTGTTAAAAATTGTGGATTTTGTCATCATCATTGTTCTTGTGTTAAAAATTGTGGATTTTGTCATCATCATTGTTGTTGTGTTAAAAATTGATAAAAGTTATATTGATTAATGTTTACTTTTAATTAATCCTAAAAGATTAATTGTCACACCGATCGAAATAAAAAAGTTATTCTTTGGTAAACATATTTTAATGAGCTTTGAACAGTTTGTTTTTTAATTTATTTGTTATTTAATTAGAATTTTGTTTGGTAACAATCATTTGTTTGTTCTTCACCATCCAAAAGATGCAGATTTATTGAAAAAGAAAGAAGATGCAAAGAAACAAGGAAAAACTTTTGAAGAAGTATTACCTACTTTTGATCAAGCGCAAGAGGAAATAGCACAGAATTCTGGACTAATTAACTATGGGAATATAGGTGATCATAAAGATGGCAAAAAGTCTCCTCGTAAGTTTTTACTTATAGCACTCTGTAGATTGACTAAGAATAATTAATGATAGTTAAAGAACATTAATCATATCAAAGTTTTATGTTTAATTATAATATTCTTTTTCTTTTTTAAATGAAAAACCATATAGCTTTTGAATACCTAAATCAATAACTATAAGTAATATATATAAATATATATAAATATATATATATATATATATATATATATATATATATATATATATATATATATATATATATATATATATATATAATTTTTTATTCAGAACTATGTCAACAGGGTACGCAAAAGAAGTAAAACTTTAGGCTGATTTTGAAAATATTATTTATTTTCATTCATAAAACTATAAAAAACATTTTTATCAGCTTAAACTATAAAAAATATAATTTTTTTTCTCATTTTTGCAATTTTTTTTTCCACAAAGTTTCATACAATAAAATTAATAGTTTTTAAAACTAAAATTTTATTCTGCATTTTTTGAGTACCAGGTTGAAAAAACATTTGAAAAAAAATATTTTCTTATTCCACAAAAATCTTGATTCATAGAGGAACCTCAGAAACTTATTTTACTAAAAGGTCATTTTTTTACTAAAAGACAATGACTGGAAACAAAGGCAAATCTAATTTCTTTTCAGTGAGATAATAGTTTTATTGTTTTACATTGTTAATTTGTTTTACTGTTTTAATTTCTAGAGGATTTACTACTTCAAGAAGATTTATTAAAAATACTTCCAATGATCAATGAAGCAAACGCTATGAGTGAAGAGCTTGATAAAAAGGTTATTTGTTTTTTTTAAACTTTTTAAATTTGGGAAGGTAGAATATATAGTTTTTAGGTTTTTCTAATTAAAAACCAATTTTTTTTTTTATATTAAATAAAAAAAGAGTTTATATATTTATTCATATTGATTTATTGAATCAATATATTTATTTGATGTATTAACTTTTACAGTTTGGCTTATTTAATCACCCCTTAATTACCGCTCTAACCTTCTAAGCAAAATAAAGTCTCCTCTTGATTAGGCTTTTATGTCTATTATACAAAAAAAATGTTTTTTGTCTTCTACGTATATATGTTATAAATATCAACTTTTTACTTATTTTTATTTGACCTATAAATAAAAATAACCAGCATTTTTAATATATGACAATACATTAAAAACGATATAGTATGACAACTGTTATGCTTGATTGATACTCGTCTCGCAACCCAGAGCTGATACTCGTCAACCAGACAACCCAGAGCTGATAACCCAGAGATTGATAATATCTGATAACCTAGAGCTTTAAAAAATTTAACAGATTTTAATTTTAAGATTTCAATCACTTATTACTTTGCATTTACAATCTAAAAAAGAAATGTTTTGCAAAGGATGCTGAGAAAATTTTATATCATATATAAAACAGCAACATTTGAAATTTTTTTAACAAGGGGAAAAGAGTTTATCTTGTAATTAAGCATGAAGTAATGAGGTGACTAGTAGTAACTAAAGTCTAATGTAATTAGGTAACAGAAATGAAGTATCTATGGTAACTGATAGATGGCACAAGTTTTTAGCTCTGTGGTGTATTTTTTTAAAGCATCACAGGCTTTATATTTAAAAACCAAACTAGAACAGCAAATTCAAAAAGTTGATGAATAAAAGTTAAGTATAGAGAACTCAAAAAGTGACAGTTGAAACTTTTTTATATGAGTTTTTAAATTTAAAAATCTTGTTGATGTAACTTTTTTTGTTTAAAAACCTTGTTCTTTTTTTTTTTTTTCTTTTTTTTTTTTTTCTTTTTTTTCAACGGTTAAAAACAAAAATTTAAACTAAACTTTTGAATTTAACTAAAAAAAAAAAAAAGTAAAAACGAAAAAAAGAAAAACGAGGAAGAAAAATAAAATTTAAGAGAAAAGAAAAATAAAATAAAAGAGAAAAGGAAAATAAAACGAAAGAGAAAAGTAAAATAAAATGAAAGAGAAAAGGAAAATAAAAAGAGAGGGAGAAAAGAAAAAAGAAGAGTTTTATATAGTAAATCAGATTAAAAATAAAAAATCAAAAACAAAAATGAGAAAAGAAAAATGTTTGCATTCAAACAAATAAATGAATTTCATAATTAATCATCTTTGCTGAAAATTTTTTATATAGTTTTTTATTTGTAAATTGTAATTGTTTTCTTATTTACTTTCTTATTTATGTTTTGCTATTTATGATTCATTTTTATAGATTTTCTATTAAATTCTTACATTTTAATTTTTTTACTTTACATCTGTGTACTTTACTTGAGTGTAATTTTTTATTGTTTATTTTTATTGGTAAGTAACTTATTTTTAAAATGATTATTGTTTTTGAATATTCTAATTTAAACAACCTTCTTTCCTTTAATAATACTATTGTTGTGATTTTCTGTCCTTTTTTTGTTCTATTTTTTTTTTTTTATATCATCAATGTTATTATTGTTATTGTTATTGTAATTATTATTTTTATAATTATTGTTAATAATAAGTTTTATAATTAGAGTAATAATAAAGTATTTTTATTTTATAATTAAATATATAAATAGCATATATAATATGTACTGGTAGAATATAGAATAAAGTATTATAGAATATAGAATTATAGAATAATAATAAAGTATTTTTGGTGTTTACTTAAGATTAGTAGAATTACTATTTGTAAAAATTCATGAAGTTATTTTTCAGAATATATATAATTGATTTGTAAACTTCTTTCTTCTTGTCTAGTAGTTTAAAAAGCTGTTTAATTTAAACTTTTTTCTCTTGTCTTATGGTTGAAAATATTTTTTATGTATACTTCGGAGCGCAAACTTTAACGCAAACTTCAGGACGCAACTTTAGTTATATTCATTATATTTTAATGTAAAAAAACCAAAATCCACCTTGTTATATATTTTTAAAAATATAGACATGTTTTTTAGTTTAATTTTTACATATAATTTGAATTCAAATTATATAATTAATATATTTCGAAATAATATTTGAGTAATCATTATTTATACTGCAAATTATTTTTACATATAGGTTGCTTTTGAACCAGTATTGGTTTCACCTCAAGCAAGAGGGGAAAAAGAAGGAAGAACTGAAGTATTTTAATTTTTTTTTTCTTTCAAATTTTTTTTCAAAAAACTTAGATGTTACAAGGCTGTTAATATTTTATTTTTGTTACATACCATCACCATAATGATGTTGACACTTTTTTATTTATTATATTATTATTACATTTCACTTAATAATTCATCAGTTT